AAACTGTTTAACAATTTATACGATCGGTAAAATATTGAAAATTTATCAGCAAAGTGATTAACGTTCGAATGAAAAGAAAAATAGAATAACGTTCGAAGGCTTTACTTCCCGTAGAAAATTTTAAAATATTGATTTTCAGCAAGTTCTCATCTGGAAATCTCGTTACTGTCGAATCGAAAACTTTTCCTGAAGAATTTCAAAAGGAAAGGAGATCAACGTTCTCTTACCAAAGTTCATCTTTTCAAATTCAAACAGGTTGGCATTAGCATAGCTGAAGAGAAAGAATCGCTGGCCGAACTTTGGTATTCAGAATAGAAATAAACGCTATTTCAATTCTTTCAATTTCACCAAAACCTTCACAAAGGAGACAGAAAAGCACGTGCGACAATTCAAAAGTCTAAGTTCACCGGTATTCAGGTCAAACAACTAAATCGTATTTAATTGTAAAAATCAAAAATCCTCGAATACTTCAATTAAAACAATTCTTCAGAAACAATCACTTAAGTTAAAAACTAACAATGAAGATTCGAAGTGTCTCGCCTTTTATTAAATTTCCACTGTAATAAAAGAAAAATAAATTATCCTTTTTCAGTGTCTAATATCCACCAGCTTTCACCCTGAACTACCCATAGTTTCAATCGTCTCCATCTCACCATTCTCCCCCGACCAATAGAAACACATAAACACTAGTCTGAAGGCAGAGCTCACCGTTTTTAATGAAACATTCAGCAGAACCGCTAGGAACAGATGGACAATGATATACACACCAGCTGCCAAGTCAGAATTGCGGGGATTTCTATATTTCGACACCGCGTATCAGAGGATCCTCGATGGCACAAGTCTCTACTTCCGGCCAGCAGCCACACCAGAGACAGACTCACGGTGTTCCTCTGTCTCGTACGTGGCAGACTGTCCGCGTCGACCGCGTGTTAGTCCCACCACTGCTTCTTGTTCATCGTATCGTGTACAATATTTCTAGCCTATCGTAGCCTCCTAACCTTTGCTAGCCTCCTAGGGACCATTGCGCAACGACGAAAAAAAGAACGATGGCAATCCCTTTCTCTTCGTGGCTGAAAGGTTGCACCACGATAATTGGTACGCTGTACTCTGATTTCGGAATCTTGGTATTTTGGAGCTTTGAATCTAGGAACCTTGGTATTTTTGACGTTTAAAGCATCCGATAGTCTCCTAGGTACCATTTTCAAAATAATCAAAATTCTGATTTTGAAAGCTCGGTACTTTGAAGCTTTGGATCTTGGAACCTTGAAATTTTTGAACTTGAAAGCATTAGGCACCCTCCTAGGTACCATTTTCGAAATAACCAAAGTTCTCCACGACCACAAATTAAATCGTAAAGATTCTAAGCTTTACAGCTGACATTACCGTAAATTCAACCAGCAGTTAATGTTTCGCAAAACTGCACCGGAAGGTTTACAGGAAATTATAACCACGCCAAAGGAATTAACTACTTCGACTTGTCGTAAATTATCATCGTGGGTAAAAAAGGGTAGAAATTTAGAGTTTCGACCTTGCTGGCCTCGTGCCATTGTCTCGTTTTGGCTTCTATCAACGAAGTTATCGGACCATGCGACACTCGTTTCTGTTCCATAGAAAGTATTTCGTTCGATGCTGCGGCAAAGTTGGTTAGAGAAGAATATATAAAATAAAATTTATAAAATCTGCAGCTACATACAGGTCTAACCGGGTCATTACAAGACCATTTTGTAACGAAGTCCATGGACCATCAACAAACTGACACACGTCAGTTAATGACAGTCGGTGTGACTTTTTGAGCACAACCATTAATCTTACGTTTTTATGAGCTCAATAATAGTTACCTAGAATTAGAATCTGTTTTCTCGCGTTTAATGAAGACGGACTAGATTTCCTCTGACGACTTATGACAGACTGTAACCATTTTTTAAAACTGTTTTACCATTCTATTTAACTTCGAAACCTTTGGAACTGTGAAAGTTTAGAAATTCAATAAGCGTAAAATTCTGAGAGAATCCTAAATTAATCTCGTTTCAGAAGTACAGAGCTACGTTTCCTAGTATTACTATCTATACAAATCCTTGGTCCTTATTGAGGATATCCACAGTAGTACTGATCATAGATGGAACTAAAGCAGCTTGATCCTTCTCTACGCTCCATGGAAACGGAGGAATCAACAGATTCACGTGGGAAGCAATCACTCATCATGCAATACACGTTTCTATCGTATGTGAAGCACTAAACTAACCATGTTGCAGTAATGAAAACGTAATAAAGGATGCTATATAATCCTGGGAATTTAGCACAGATTAAAGACGAGTTAACGAGTCATTTGCATGACTAACAATTTATGGGGTAATCACATATTTATCGAGAGATCTTTGCCTTGAATCGTGACATCCTTAAAATGCCAATGTAATAATGTATGTACTTTGATGAAAAATACAGTAGTAAATACTTAAAGAAACCGAGACGATTAATCATAAGTATTAAAGGAAGTTGTTAAACGTTTAGATAATTGTCCAAATGCGATACGCAACATTAAATCAACTAAGTAGTCGCGATAACGGTAAGGTAATGGAAAAAAAAAAGAAATGAGATGGAATTCCTAGGTGGGTCACGCAATATGTAAATTTGCCAGACACCATATATTATTCTCGACGTATTGTGTCCGAGCATGACTTAGAAACACGTAGACTCATAAATTCCGATGAATTATGCGAATTCGCATTACTCATTTACTCGAATAAGCGAGCTTTCAGATACGAACAGTATTTACCAACGTATCACGCATAGTATCGCGTGAAACACGGTAGTTATATCAAAGTGAGAAATGTAGAAAACCATTTGAAACGAAGCAAGAAATATGTTGAAATGTTACATGGGAGATGAATTGGCAATTAAATTTCAGCGGCCTTTCCTAAACAGCAACGCCTACACTCTACGGACACCTTAAGGTACCACTACGCAATTTTATTATGAAAGCTCTAGACCTTTGAAAATTTGGGTCATCGACGTCACAGATACTTTAGAGCTGTGGAACTTTAAAGTTTTTCGACATTCCCAGCGTTAGATCTTTGAAAGTTTGAAATTCTGGAACTTCGGAGCCTTGGAACCCCGGAAAAAATTTAAAAACCATGGAAACGAGATGATATAAAAAAAAATTTATCGTTGCATGTAAAATCATCTCTCGGCCGATCGTGCCAGCCAGCTGGTACCCGTAGGTTAGAAACGAGAGTTAGAAAGATGAAACGGCGACGTGTCGGCGTGGCTGAAATGGGATTACCTCGCGTATATGGGCGAGCACGTTCGTGAAAAGCTCGTTTTAACGCGCTCCATCGAACCGGAAGCATTGCGAAGGCTGACTGAAAAGTGAAACACAGAGGAAATGGGTATAGTCGCATCCCCCGCACGCGGTTAACCCTTTCCTTCTATACGTTCATTTTAGTCGGTAACAAAGCGAGAGAATTTTGTGATTGAAAGCGATCTCGTTTGGTTAGCTACGATTCCGGATGATTGAAACTCGAAACCTTAGAGCTCGATAACTTTGGTACTATGCGAGGGTTGGAACTTTGAAACTTTGAAATCTCGTAGCTCTGGAATATCAGGGCTTTAGAATATTGGAACTTTGGAATGTTGCTATTTTGGAATTTCTCAACTCTCTTTCTACTCGCTCATTTCGGTAATTGTAACCACATCAATTAGCTAGGTACGATTAACTGTTGATCTATCGCGTAACGCGATTTACTATCTCCGTCGAGGCTGCGTAGCATGGCCGTAGTAAGAAGGGAAATCCTTGAAGCAAAAATGGAAATACTCTGCTGGTTGTGTACACGCGCTCGGTTAGGTAACGAAAGCGCTGGTAAATCCGGGTCAAACGAAGAAACGCGTTTGATTGTGCGGTGAGAAAAATAGAGTAGCTGATAGGGACATCCTTTCGGAGACAGGTCTCCATTTATTTTCTCCCATAAAAACGAACGGTAGTTCAATCAAGCAATTCTGGTCTGAATTCTTCATTTATTTGTTCACTGGAAAATCGAAACCGTACTCTATGTTCTACAAATTACTATTTTACCTTTTGAGAAAGATACGAATTCAAATGGTGATTCAGAAATTCGAATATTATCATTCTCTAGACCGATCTTATCGTCCGGAGTCGCGTCGGAGGTGGCAGAATTTGACAAATATGCGGCACGAATGCGGGCCATCTCGTGCTACGTGTAACCGGGGACGATATTAATCATCACAGCCCGATAATTCACACTACGTGCCGTAGACAAAATGCATCGCGTCCCGTGCAGGAAACAGAGAATAGAATAGAAATTCCAGCCGCGCGATGCATCGCGTTTGCAAACGATAATTCAAACTAGCTGGCGCTGATTCTCTTTCGCGCGTATGTAAGGTGCTTTTACCGAGTCCAAGGTGAAAACGTTATCAATTCACGAAAAAAAAAGAAGGCTGGACGTCCTTGACGGATAACAAAGGGAATGAAAAAACATACGAATGCTTAGGTAGACGAAGAGTTCTGTGGCTGACGTCGGGAAGGAGCAATTATTTAGACGAGCTCCGTGCCGCCTTCGCGACTATCGATCGTCTTCGAAACAAGGTTAAAAATATCTATTTGCATGTCGAGATGCATTATGGTACATTAGAGGCGTGCTTCTTGATTCCGGACACCGTCGAGACTTTTTTTTTTTTTTTTTTCGACCACCAACCGATCCAACGAAGGTCGGGGTCAGTCGAAGCGAAATTTATCGCGTGGGAAACGAACCTCTTTGAGGTCCGCGATCAACGATCCAACGATTAGGCGCGCCCGACACGCGAGGACTTAATGTGTTATCGCACTGACAGCTCGAGACTATGGGGGTGGTCGCAAACTTGTGGGTTTCTGGGCTCCTCGGGTCCGAGTTCGGTCGACCGAGTGTTTACAGACTTGCGGTTTTGTCTGACTTTACGACTTACAAATGATAGATCGTAGGATGTTACGTGTTGAAAAATGTACTCACTTTGGTATATCGCCGATCTTTGGTGGACGACACTTCCGCGGAGGGACATCTCCCCATATATTGTACGCTGAAAAATAATTAAAAAAAAAAAAAAAACACTTTGTTAATTTAATTATCATGATTCAAGTATCGTCTAACATTCGATCGTTTCCATAAAACCATATAAATATCATCGTTCTATTAAATGAAAAACCACCGATAATTAAACCTTCCGCCACGTGCCATCCAGATCCAATTTATTGCAAGTAATTGGATCGTAAATGAAATCAAGCCAATGATTAAAAACGGATACGGAGATCGCGTCTAATGAACCGAGCGCTCTTTGAGACTCGACCATATCGATTAGCAAACTCGTTAGAAGTTCCCGAAGACGGAAGAGATGGACAGGGGAAAGTGAATGACTTTTGCCAATTCGAAACTCGGAAGTCGAAGATTCAACCCTGAACCTTTGCTTTCCGAGGAACTTCGTTGCCACGTTATTGAACACGCTGAGTGATAATTGATTGAAAAGGGATCGGTGATCAAAGCTAGACAACCCCTTCATCCCCTTAGATCGACACCGTGTAAAGTCCGTTTAATCCTTCAACGACAAACACAAGTGAATCGTAAATTTTTTTTCAATCGAGATTTCTGATCTCTGCTTCCAATCTGATTTCCAGAAAATTGAACGGATTAATTCAGTTTTTTTCTCCATGATATTTACCATCGTCCTTCGACTCGAACGAATTCACCTTACGGCGATATTCATTAACTAACCCAATTACAAAAACTTCTCACCGACTGGGCGGCGTCGATCGTGTCTCGAAGGTTACCTGTTAACCCCTTTCGCCCCTTTTCCACCCACCTACTCTCGGTGTTAGAAATTTCGTTAGCGCCTTGATGTAGCCACCAGACGATAATTATACGATAATTAATCCCTCGGAGGATCGGTGATGCTATAGCTTTCGCGTTTTCCGTCACGCCACTCCGTGAAAATCTCTACGCTTGTAAAAGCAACGATCAACGATATATAAAGGGTGTCCACGAAATAACGACACAGGAAATTTTTTAACTAATTTCGAAAACCGCTTCCCTTTTTCTGTTTAACGAAGCGTACAGAGCAACAAAGGCTAAGAAATCTTTTAAATACACAATGGTAACAGAGAAACGAGATCGTGACAGTATGTATGGGTCAGTTGCAATTACTCCGCAGACGACTCCTAGGCACAAGTCAATTGTTAAATCGCCAAGGGACCACGAATCGTTTGAAACCGGACCCGTGTCCGCATTATCTCGGTCATATCCTCTTTTCCGTCTATAACCAGCGTTGGTTAACTTCAACCGGACCGTTGGAATCGTTTCAGTGACAGACACACACACAGAGATATCGATCCGAATGACGATGGAAAAATAATTGCCGAGATTGCGATCGCTCTACTTCATATCGAGTGCTTCTGTTCGCGAAACAACGGACATCCTTTGAGAAACAGATACCTGACTGTTTACCTGCTCGTTTAGCGATTAAAGGCTAAATAAATAATGATGAGAGGAATTTTAATTTCTTCGCTTGCAATTAAATTTCTTTCTACTGATCCTGAGATTACTATATTGCTATATTGTGTTAGCAACACTGGGTTCTTGAATTATTCAATTTTCACATTTGCTACGTGGAACAACTTCCAACGGTATGAATTCTTGTAAATCAAACAGGAGGATGTACGACTGTACGTGTGTATTACCTTGACACACTTCCGGAATTAAAGGGATGCGTATGCGCGAGCATATACACAGAGTTGCTAATCATCCCGCTACCCGATGCGATATATTATAGAAAATATTCCAGGAAAATGAGCTACATCGAAATTTCGAACTTTCCAAACGAGGTTGGGCGAAATTTCAAACTCTCCTAAAAACTGAATCGTTAAGTAACCCGCAAACTTTGAAACCTCGTCAATTTCCGCCTCAAAGCTTTCTGTAAGTACTTTAAAGAGTGAAATATCAGTTTTTTGTTTTTTTAATATTTAAGATAAAATACTTTTTCGTCGAGGGATTGAGATACAGGAAACACGTGTTCGATAGAAATAAGAAGCAGGCAAGTAGCGCATTAAAGTGAACGTCAGCCAGGGTTAATCGATTAAGAGGTCGACATTTCAAGCGACTAGCTTTCGTGTATCGACCATGAAGAGTGTTTGACAAGCTCGATCCTATCGCGAACAAGTGGATATTCAAATATTCGAACACGTCATCGATCGTTCTTAACGCGTTCACGAGGATCTAAGGAGGGAATAATGTTGACGCAAGGCCATTAATATTAACCGTATCCTTGCGTCTTTTATAAATCATTCGTGACGAAAGTACGTCCTCTCGGTTGTTCGTAAAACTTTAACAAACCTTGAATAAAAGATAGATCAACTCGAGGTAACCATCTCGGAGTCTTGAAATGTTAAAATGTACAACAGTAATTTTCGTTCGTTTTAAAGAAAAATATTACCATATTATTGCGTTTCTCTATTGTTTCTCGTTCGTTAAAATTCAAGATACCCCATAACATCCCTTTCACCCTGTAATCGATAGGAACACGAGTGTATCAAATCGTCAACGTTGTTTACACATCATAGGTGTACCGAGGCTCGTCTGCGATCGACAAGCAACTTCATTAATCAGTGTAAACTCGATTAAGAATCACGAAACACCTCCTCTCCCTTTCGATCTGTCGACCTTCTGACCTATTTGCTTCCACCTTGCCAGAGTTGTAGGTACCTTAAGAGGATAAGAACACAGGGATCAGGGGTGGCTAATTGATATCTACAAATTTTCCCTTCGCATGGATTTACCTTCGAACATCGATACCGTACCAATTCTGGTCTCGTTGTCGGTTGTTTGTCGAATAACAATCAGAGAAATGGTACAACAGAACTTTGAGGGGATTGCTGTTTGTTTGACTTACCGGAATATCAATTAAAATTTGAGAGTGGGAAGTATTTAATTAAAGAGAGAATATTGTTGTTGCATCGTGCTGTTGTTGCAGCATTTCGGTTAATTACAATGTTGTAATTATAACTGCAGGGTATTTTTTTTTTAGCAATGCGTTGTTCTAAAGGTAACTGTTGGGACGCGTTTAAAGTAGGCAATTTAAATTCTGCGGAAGGCTAAGTTACCGAAAGGAACCGTTTTAATTACGGTCTTCTGAAATAAAAAAAGAGTCGCCTCGGAAGAGAATCGTAGCGAACGAAGACAACTTAATTGTTTTCTCTTTATTGATTCGAAGAACGTAGCCAGGTTTTCTCGTCGACACTTCGCAAACAGTACAGTTTCCCTCATTAGATTTCGTTCGTTGTCCGGATATTCAAATAAACTCTAACGAAGCGAATTGCAGTGTTTACGAAACGTTGGAAACTACATCGGAATACGTGACGACCGTACGAATATTCGTAAGACAAGAAAACTTGAACCCTCCAAGATCTGGGTCACGATTCGCTCACCGTCGCTCAACGGTTACCGCTTTACACGCGTTTTAATTCAACTTGCCAAACTTTCGTTTCGTTAATTATCGTTTTCGAGCAGAGATCTAAACGATTCTTTAAACACAAATTACTTCGTTCGCGTTTAAAGACGGTCGATCGGCTCGATTCCCTAAAGGCTTTAGATTAATTAATATCATTTAATTGACTTGCCGACGAGTAATATGCGCGACCGATTGGATTGCGGATAATCAATAACGTCGTTTCATTGCGTACGAGTACACGGTGCATATTCACGAACCTCTGCACAGCGGATCCAACCGGTTGCAGTTGATTATTTTCTGGTAATTTCCCAATCATGATACCGTTTGAAAGCCGTGGGTGGAATAGAAACAACGTCCTTTCCAATCGTGTATGTTTCGATTTACTTGCTAAATACGAACCGTACACGGTCTTTGGGAATAAATCTATTAATCGTTTCACGACTAAAGGTAAATTACGGATCGTCAGATTTCTACGGCTACGTGGGTTAAAGGATTTAATGGATTATCGAGGTGATAATTAGCGAATTTGCGGAAAATAGAAAATAGTTTCACTAACCTTCCATAGTCATATTATCGCCCAGCTTCATTTCGATGCTTCTAATGGTCCCACGTTATCCCAGCGTCTTTCTTCGATGGAAATGAAAGCGTTTCAACGTGTCAACGTCACTCGCCTCAGAATTGCCTTTAAATCACGGCTATCCAATTAGCTGATGCCGATTTCCGATCTCTACGCCGTTCGTTTTTTCACCCAACGAGCTTTCTTCACCCTCGTTAGACGATCCGTCGCTGTAGCAGCGATCGAACGCTCGTACCGAACCATAATTAACGTCGTTCCTGGTTGACCAATCGAATTATCAAGCGATCGAACGTTCCACTTGGCCATTGACAGTCGAACGAAACGATAAATCGTCATTTCCCTCGATCGAGGCTACCTTTGAATCGCGAAAGGTCATCGTGACGAGACATTTTCGAAATTTCGATTCCTTCCTTTTATTCGAACTGATTTATTCGTCGAACGGAGAGTCCTTCGTGAAGACGGCGATCGCGAACCTGTTGGCAAAACAATTAATTGTCTTGAAAATATGTTGTCAATTGGAATTTAACAAATACAATGTTTTGAAGTATATAATATTATTAACATTTTCGAATATTTCACTGGATGTGAAAGTTTCGTTGTTATAATGGAATTTTATCTTTTTTTCTTGCGAATGCAGGATCGAGAAATATATTTCACGTTCTCGTAACAATACTTTGCTGTAAAAGCACTTCTGTCCACGCGATATTTCATAATTTGGTCAGGTGGTTGTAAAAAGCATTCTAATCTTAAGGTACGACGAGATTGTTTAGAAAAAAAGGAAAACATAAAATGAAACGTGTTTTAACGAGAACGGCAGAGCCATTTATTGCGATACTTGGAGCGATTCGCGAGTGTTTCTGTAAACAGAAAATCGCTCGTTTGCATAAAATTCAAAAAGAATTCGAGAGCCAGCATCGTAAAAGTAAATCATGATAAGGAAAGATATTCTCGGTGGTGTACGGGTGATAACGTTGAACGTTATCGTTCAAAGGAAACTCGAGAGCTTTAATATTATATCTCCTGACGTTGGGAACCGTTTTAATTTCTCATAAATAAACGTTAGACACGAATTAAAAAAGAAAAACTGTAACGTAGAAAATTCTCGTGAAGAGGCATTGCTCAAAAACAATTCTAAATACTCCAAATTCGTAAGCTTGCGTGTCATAATCGAACGGAATTAAAACCAAATTCGTCGATTTGTCGCTTCTCGTTGCTACAAAACTGGGTTAGGTCACGTTAATTGAACCGATATATATTTTTAATCGACCCCGATGCTTCGTCGTTTTCTTTTTCATCTCGACTATGACGTAGAAATTTCTGAAAACCTGTTTACACGAGAATCTCACTCGACAATTACGAGCAATCAAACTTTCAACGAGGCAACTATCGATAAAAATAGAATAAAGTATAAAAGACCGCGAAGAGATTGAAAAGTTACCCCGATACCTGAAAATTTCCACACGCCATGCGAATGAAAGTTTCGCGAATATAGAGTAACAACGAAAGCATAGACGAATGTATGCACGACGATTTCTGGAAATGTTCTTTTCCGTCGGTGTTTCGTGGAAAACTTTTCCGAGCTTTTCGCTCGCAGTTTCCTTCAGGGTTAAGCCGCGAGGTAAAGGCAAAAGACAAGTTCACCGCAAGCCCAAGGGGTTGCTTTTCGTCCGCGGCTTCCTTTTCCAGCGAGTTTATACGTGCGCGATAAGCGCGTATCGTTGCACGCCCTTTCGTATTCCGGGAACGTTTCCGACTTCCTCGTAAATTTCGACCGTGAGAAGCTTAGTAAGTACGTCGAACAGAATGCTGTACCTACTTCAACTACATCGGATCACTGGGAAAGGGGTGTGTATCGTGATCTAAGGAAGACCGACGAGAACGATATTGGTTTCTTTAAAACATTCATCGACTCAGCGGGGATGGACAATACTTTTCAATTTTCTCTAAAATTCTACCTCGCTAGTTAAAGTAGAAAATGAACGATTTCGTATGCCTTATGTAGACCTACCTATCCCTTATTAAAAATGAAAGATTTCAAAAAGTTTCTGAAAATAAGGAAGAAACTCGTAAAAAAAAACGACGTATAACAGGGATTGTAGACATCCTTGAACCTCGGCCTCATTGCTATTCCTCGTGTTTGACAGTATTGTACGCAAAAAAATAAAGGATACGAGGGTTCGAATGTATTGAAGAAAGATAAATTCAGCCGGCTCGACGGGAAGATGAATAAAGACAGAGGGATGATGAAGCGGGAGGAAAACGGAGCACGGAAACAAAAGACGATGCGATAAAGGAAAGGAAAGAAGAGAAATTGCAGGATATAAAAGGGGAAAATGAATGTAGGTGTTACATCTGAGGACAGCCTTTTGTTTTCCTGGCACCGATTGGTTCGTCGCTCACCCCCTAGGACGATTTACCAAAATCCTAGCCAAGTCGAAATGAAGTTGCCTGATTTTCAATTTAGAAAAACGCCTCCAGATATTAAATTCAAAAGGGTGATTTTTCTGGCGAGGGTTGGAAAATGAAATTCGCAGAAATTATAGGAGAGAGATTGTCAGGGATAAAAGCAGCGCTAAATGAAGGAATTAAGTCTAAGAGGAGACTACTTAGAGCCCCTTTCTAATCTTACGTATAGAAAACATACAAAATATTTGGAAAATATGTACAAGAATAAGAAACATTTTCCGTCTGTATTGACATGAAACTCGTACAGAGGGGCAAGTGAAAAATACGAATAGAAGTATGGTGGAGAATAAACAAACGTAGTACCCACTTCGCCGGCTGAGAAAGAGAGACGGCACTGTTTATTTGAATTTCTTTCGTCGAATGCATAAAGTCGACGAGCTGCCGTAGCCACTTGAGAGATTTTCATGAATTTTAATGCTGTTTAGCTGTGCAAATCGGACTGGTTACGAGCATGCATGTCGTGTACTACAAATGAAAGTAGATTGCCTGACGAGTTGTCTTCTGGCTTGTTAAAAACGTTCTTCTTTTACGCGACACTATTCCATCGTCTGTTTATCTCAAAAAATAATGTTCGTATTTGCGTTAGCCGGAGTATAGTAGTTTCTTTAAATCATCTTTTAATATAACGAACCGTCTGTACTCCTTCATGAAAATACGAGATAATAAATGTAACGACTAACATCGCTTTCTTTACTCTCTGCTTCTCTTTCTTCTTATTTTCTCACTTGAAACTCTAAATTGCAACGTGAAAATTTTGCAATTACAGATTTTCATATATTTGAAAAATAAATATCTCCAGAGTCTGAAATTACATTTTAATCCAAGGATTAAATTGAAAATGAAATCGTTAATAATTTTCACTCGATATTTCAACCAAGTATAACTCTGAAATATTTCAATTCTCATCTAAAAAATCATTCTTTCGGTACATTTTTCAACCAGCAAAGAATCGAGGCAGCAGCTCGATATTATACAAAGAACGCGTATCATTCGACGGAATAATAGAGCAAACGGAAACGCAAGAAGAGAATTGTTGATGTATATCATGCTCTATAGGGGGGATCCGATCGAATACCGTTCAATTATCAATGAATTACGTCACTGGGTCGTTTATTTGTCGTGGCAAATGTCAAAAACAAGAAGGCACAAGTCGGCCTGGTGACGCAAGTACACGCGAGTACCAAAAAGGTCACTGTCCACCACCCATCGCGAAACAAAAGGGAGAATCAAAGGATAGAGACCCTGAAGAACCCTCGTTCGCCGCTTCCGCCTCGAGGCTAGTAGTTTCATCCATACAAGGTCAGCCGCGATTCAATAAGTGCCAGATACAAGAGCTCAAAGGTCAAGTATTTTAGGCAGCTCCTTTTATAATTGAATGGACACTAAACTGCATGGTAAAGAGGGGGTAAGTTACGAACCAGGGGATGAGAATTTTTTTTTTTTAAGAGGCAGAATTCTGTTGGATAAAATTAAACTGGAATACAGTGGTAAATTCGTGGTATTAATTAGACCTCAACCGTTCAAATTCACTGATTTAATTTCCAAGGAAATGGGTACCTGAATCCTCCGATTATTTCAGAGTTCATCCAGTTTGGGAGAAACAGTCGTGAAAGCATTTCAAGTATCGATCGATCAAACCTATCTCGAAATATAACTCGTTTTATTACGAACCGATACATCATGTAAGAGGGAGGCAAAGGGAAAAGGAACGAAGGAAGATTCACCGAATGGATGAGTTTTCCCTTTGAAGGGCCAGCAATCTCTAAAGACGGCAACGATTGCAAACAATCCTTCGGTTACACAAACGGAAAGGGAGACAAGATAAATCCTCCCCCATCCCGATATTACTTCTCCATTATATTGAATTGCCAATTAAAGCTACAATCTGTAGATTTGTATTATAATAAAGGCTATAATATGTTATATAGACGCAGTTTTACAAGCTTTATCAAGCATTTTAATATAAGCACAAATTCAATATCTTTTTCTTTTTGCAGCTATTCAAAGTTTACGAAGGAAAAATCGTTTATCGCTCAAGGCGAAACTCCTTTCAGCCACGTTATCGCGTTCAAGAACCGGAAGTCCTCGGGATTAAAGACGGTCACGTGAGGCAACAGCGCGATCCTGACTAACATTTCAAATCCTGGCTATAGATCGATTTTAGAATAATTTGAGTTTAATTATTACACATCAATCGAGTACCTTGGCAGTTTTTATTAACTTTAATAGATATCTTTGAGGATTATTAGGTGAATAAAATATCATCCGGTTCCTGTTATCGAAATTCCTGCCAATAATAGTTTTCTCGATAAATCTCACGTTTCTCTGATCACGTTACCGGTCGCAATATCGACTTGCATACAACAGGATAGGTGGAAAAGAATAGGCGAAGAAAGAGAGGGAAAGATAAAATTGTTTGCCGAGTAAATTTGAATGGGCCAAAATTTAATTTCGATGGTAGTCGAACGAATAAATGTTCAAAGCTCTTCTACAATGGGAACCGTTCGTATCGATTCGTCGAACGAACTCGTAAAACAAACTTTTTCCAATTTGCATTATCCCTGTGGCGAATGTTGAATAGTTTCGCGTTATTTTGCATAATCATAACTATAAAATCTACGATACTACGATTTATTCTGTACATGTATTAATAATAACGATCTATCGTGGAATGGGAAGAAAATTTTGCTGCAGTGAAAGAGAAGAATACAATTGAACAACTTCCAAAAATAATGCTACGATCCTTGCCAAATATTTCAGGAAGCTGGAACCGTATTCCGGAAGTTGTTCGATTGTCATAGTTAACAATGAAATTTCCGTTCGATTGTCAATTCAATTTGTAGGAAAAACGAACTGATTATAATATATAGCTATTATAAATCAACGAAACGATAGCATTAATTGAACAAATAAACAATAGATGAATAATCATAAAAAATTAAGGGCTACATTTCAGTAGTATATCAGTACATATCAGTAGTATAAAATAAAATTGTCTATAGGAGTTGAAGTCAGCGATAAGTGCCAAGCGAAGGCAGTCTCAACCTAACCTAACTGAAATCTCAAAAACCCGCGCATTTCACTTGGACGCCATATTGCTTTTCAAACTACCTATATCGTTTCCCTCGCCGAGTGGTTAGAATAAAATATCTATTCTATCTAAGTTCTATACCGTTTATTGTACGCATATAATATAATTATGTACGCTTATAAACATTAATAAAGAGAACACTGATTAAGAATGAAATCCTGCTTTACTTACTCGACAGGAAGAAAGCAATCAACAATCAACTCCTTCCGGGCTGACCTCCCTGTACTTTCTTTCTCTTTCATCCCTCTTGGACGAATAAACGCGATATCCCTTCTTCCCGAGACGAAAGGGAAAGGGATTGTTCCAGTAGCACGGTCGATTAACCGAGTTTCAATTCGAAGGGAACACACGCAGTAGAGTATAAAACGAATAAAAGAAAACGAAACACAACACGCGAGGACAAAAGTTCGACAAATTCGTTACATGCGAAATATTCTGTTCGACAGACTGTTACTCGAATGATGTTTCTGTTTGTATACCGATCGCGTCTCGCTTTCGTACACGTTGTTTATCACGCGTCCGAACCGAGAGCAACAATACACATCTTCCTCGGTCGACTGACGAGCCTCGACTGCCGCCCCTCGCGCTTCAGCTGTATCCCCACTACCACTCTTTCCCCCACCACTTTTCCCAGTATATGTATTATATGTACGAATTTGTCAACCCTTTCGCATCCCCGAAGATGGAACGAAGGGGTTGATAATACGGACTTCTTTTTTTGTATAATAAAAATAAAGACAAACGGTGTTTTGTTATTTATGATGAAACACTTTAATCGCAATAATTTGCATACCTTTCATATTTTCTTGTTACGGTAAGCCGTAAATTTTGATGTACGTTTTAACAAATTATAACCCTTCTAATTTATTAGCTTTTTTTAACCATTATGGTCAATAATCACCAACGCCTCGTAATGGGAAATGCAAACTTTGAATAGCATTAACATTTGAATATAATAGTTTGATAATCACAAGATTCATGGAATCTATGGATTAAGCAAAACCTACTTATAGGATTACATTACAAGGGCTCCTCTAATATATCCTGTAATATTAATTTTCTAAGCTGCAACTAATCATTGCTGTATTACATAGAAATGGACCAGAGGATAAGGGTTTTATACACAAGATAATAATATAAAGTACAAAAAGGAAATTGTCCACCCTCTAAAGGATTGACTAACCACGTGTTCTACTTTACGTAATCGTACATGTGCATCCTCGAAAGAACAAGAACCGTGGAACTTTCTTACCGTTCAATTTGTGCAATAATTACACCGTTAATTACACTCCATCACAGAGGAGAATCGACGAGACTGGCACTCGAGGGAACTTCATCCCACCGAGACATCGGCTAATTGTCTAATCTCCCTGTTAATTCCTCGCGATAACGACAGGCGTGGCTAATCCGGCAACCTTCTTCCTGGTTTAAGTAGCGAAACAGATGCCGTGAGTCAAGCAACTTCCGCTGTATTATGAGCGAAGCATGCTAAACTCGCGGGACCATCCTGGAATTCTGACACAAACTTAAGATTTCTAGACCTAAGGTGCTTAGGTCTTGAAAATGGACGAGCTAGAAGCCGGTGTCCCATCTTTTCCCGATGTGGTTTATCGATTGACGCCTACGTTATTAAAGCCCCGACACGGCTGTTTGCCGTGTTTTTAAGCGAGCTTTCACGCTAACGGTGCAGCGAACATGCAAATAAGCTGTCTGTTCAAAACAATTCCGTTCGCACCTTCTTTTTCACTTTTTATCTGATCGTACACGCTACAAACGAATCGTTTTGACACAAGATTTCTATGTTGAATTTGAACCCTTTTACTAGAGATATATTTTTACCGAATTTTTTAATATGTTTGCATTCGTACGAGTCTGTAATTATCAAACTAGTTCGTTTCTAAAAAGAGCGGAATAGCTTTAAAGTCAATGAATTCTTCATCAATGAAAGATGAAACCATACGAGTAAATGAATCCCTGGATTGGTTTAAACTTCGTTTCTTTTGCCCTCGTGAATCACCACCGACCAATACACCCACGGGATATATTTGTTCTGTAATTAAATGTCATTTCAACGTGTCCACCATCAAAACGGGTTTTACGTGGAAATTGAAAGCTCATAATTTGTCGACAAAGGGAGCTGTACTTAAACATTTTGTTTTCGAATTTCGAGGCTTCCCGGAACTGGAAATGTTTGACAAATAAATGTCGATCTGATTTTCTGGGTTCGTTAACGAAACAGCGACAGAATTGTTAATTTTTCAGACTGCCATTGGTTATTGAAAGGATAAAAGTTGATATGATCGAAAAACGCTATACAGTGTGAGAAAGAATTTCTTTTCAGCTCGAAAGCTGCTTATTTATTGAAAGCTTTCTCCTGCGTCTTCACCTAAACCTAAAAGACACGAACAACCCAGAATATTTCCACTTTTTCCCTCACACGTTCCAGGAGAATTATCCGCTTACTTTATTTGCACTCGAAATCTACTTTCTTCTTTTCACCCCGTTTCAACCTTTCAGTTTATTCACTATCTTCGAATCGTCTTTAGTTAATAGAAAAACTTCAATTAACTTCTCTTTATTGAAGCCCTTATTAAACAATCAAATTTAATTCATTTAATTTCATACCCTTTAGAATAAACCTAACGCTATCTGACCACCGTACATCTATCTCAGAGATATCTACCTCTATCTCAACGAACCCACTTCCGGAAGTGGCTCTACTTCCTCCTGTACGCCACAGGATAATCAGTGAGCAGGCTTCCTGTCGAAAGGATCGCCTCAGAAGCTGCTGGAATTCCTCCCTTACTCTCTACCCAACCATTATTACCATCAAAAAATCCCGCAGGTTCTAATCTGTTAGCGTAAAATCCTGGTTCGTTTATACCCTCGACATGTAGCAAATTATTCCCTCCGGTTAATTGTCTGGCTTTGATATCCTGACGAGTCTTCAAGCCAAGATTATTCAGTGTTTCTTTCAATTGAAGCACCCCGTTTTGCAAGAGAGATTGAGGGTTGATTTGAGACAACGGTGCCAGAAGCCAGGTGAGGAAGCCTGGTTTCACGGTGGTTGATCCTTCAGACTGTAAATTCCAAGGAAACGTTATTTAAATACTGAAACCGTGTTAAATATAAAATAGAAGAAACGTAAAAGACGATGCTACCAGTTTAATGTTATTGGATTAGAGAAGGCAGAACGTGTGATTAAAGTATAAATAAGTTCCCCTTTATGGTTCGTGCTGTGTAAAACATAAACTAGAATATATAGTTGTCGCGTAAACGAACCACCTTCCAGTTTTATTATATTTTATTACCACGAATAAAAGCTTGCTCCTGGATTTTATTACGCGTTTCCGAGTTGTTTCGTTGAAACTTTCCACCGTCTCGACTTTCTTTCAATAATTGTTACACGTGTTACTTACGTTTTGAACAGTTACGTTTTCCAGAGTTAACGTAGTATCACCAACCGAGTTTCTTAATTCTATCGAACCATGATCGATCCTGTTGATCGAATCGCCAATCGATCGATCCATGGGTTTCGTATACACTCCAAAAATCTGTATATTTATTATTAAACAATTGAAATTATTAACGTTAATAATAAACGAGAGAAATTATTACCATCAAGATCAACAGGAAAACTGCATCGAATTGCATGGTTTCCAAAAGTTGTACCACTGTTCTAAGAATAAGAACACGTCGATGGATTTCCACGAAAAGCAATATTCGAAATGCAACTACATGAAGCATTGCCCTAACAGCGAGGCTTCAATATATAGCATTTCCTACACATATGATTCCCTTTATCGAATGGTGGTACCCTCATGCCTCTCAGATAAGAACGCAATTACCAAATGCTGAAAGATCTTTTCTATAGGGGTTACTAACCTTATTGGTATTACGAAATTTTAATACATATCCAGTCAGAAGAGTTCAGGAAGTTAAAGATTGAAATAAAGATATTTAGGGTGCTGCTGGTAAGGTTCTTATCGAAGGCCTTCGACTTTGGAAGAAGCCAGGGTGAATCTAAGAAAAAAGTTAATTCCCTCCTTAGGAGGATTTTAGGGAGATCCTAAAAACCTAATCTCTTCTTCCCTACGATTCCTCGTTAACAGACTCTACACTGCACCCGAGTGTACAGAATTGACCGACACACGTGTTGAGAACCGGTTGCCGATCTTTCCGATTCCATTCTATGGACACCCATAACCGAATCGCCTTGAAGGTCCACCTCCGCTCGTTCTTTTTCCATACTAAAGAAATCCTCAGCAACGGCCTTGTGCAAGGTCGCGGTCTACCGAGAACGAAAGTCCGGATCACCGGCTACCGAATTCACTTTCGATCGTGTCCATGGGAACGATGCTTTTAAACGAGACCGGTGGAAAAAGGTAAACGAGGTAAATGGTTCTCGAGTTTGTGGACCGTGGCGAGGAATTATCGTAAAGTCGCGGAATGAGTCGCACGCATAGCGGAAAAAGGATCGGCCGGTTCACGGACACGCGATGCATACCGATCGCAACTTAATTTAAGTGTCACGATGGCCGGCTAACGACTCGTTCTTCCTCGTCCAAAGCGATCGTCGACACACTCCTGCGAACCTACGTACGTTCGCGTGTGCGACCAGGTATGATTGTAGGTGTGCGACCAGCCGAGGACGAGTTGAAACCGTTACCAGCCTTTTCGAGACCAGTCTCGTGGCGTCTCTCGACCGCGAACCTTGATCCGAGGAAGGAAAACAGAGGAATCCGAGGACCCTGTGCTTTTTCTCAAACGACCTCCCGTTGCTACTTGCGATTCCACGACGAACTGGCGCAGTCTGATCGCGCTTTAAAGACCGACCGGTCGATAATGGGACCAAGTTGCCGCCTCCTTTGAAATTCATCATTTTCGTGATCGTCCAACTACCGATTTTTCAACGGCCGAGCAAATTTCGGAGGGAAAACATGAAGGCAGTTTGTGGTTTCATCCTGATTCTATTGTTTCGACAGGTAAAAGATTGCAGTGATGTGAATTTCATATAATCGTAGCAAAGATTCTTGTCATCTCTATAAATAAAATGAAGAAATATGATTATGTTGAACGGTTATTCGAACGTTTTTGCGATCCCTTTTTTCTGTCTTATAACGTCATAGCTCGTCTTAATAAGAAAGAAACGGTTTCTCGGAAAGAAGAACATCGTTAGAATAATTAATGCTCAGTTATAGCTAAGTTTCCTTGAATCCCAACTTGAAGCAATTATACAAAATTTTGTCGTTTCAGGCAATCAGCGGAATCATTAGAAATCCACCAGCATTTTCGAAGCCCGTGTACTCAGACTCGTATCTTCCTGCAGCCATGCAGGTGAGTATCATTAATTAGATAAAAAACTATTCAAGTATGCTTCGTACATGAATAAAGGATAATTTTGGCCTCAGGTGATATTTCATGCCGTCGAGCAACTGAAACTTCTGCAATCGGAAGAGACTTCGGAAGTCTCTATTGTAACGAGCAGCTCGAAACCACCCATCGATGATCCGATACAAAATGATCAATCAACCACTGAAAAATTTCAAACTACATCCACGAGTACGTCGACGATCCCACAGGAGGGAATAAACAGCGACGAAGAAGAATCAAACGTGAATGAAACGTCTAAAGGGATGGAAAATTCGACGAAGACGATCGAAGTTAAAGAAGAATATATTAAGGCTACGTCGAGCCAACCCATCGAGGATTCCAGTCATCAAGAATTGCCTGAGATTAACCAAGAAACGCCAGAAGCGAACTACGCGACCCCAGAGACGAATTACGAAGCTTCGGAACAGGTGCATAACGTCCAAGAGTCGAATCAAGAAGTTCCTGAAGAAAATCACGAATCGACTGTCTCCTCCGAGGCTGCAGAAACTTCGTTGATCAAAGGAACGAGTCTGGTAGCGACTGCGAATTCTTCTGGTTCCTCTTTGGAAGAGGATAGTAATAAAGAAGATAAAAAGAAACCGACCATCGAGAGTGTGGTACAAGGTGTCTACGAAATTTTGAAACCAACCACGTCAAAATTTCTAGACGAAGACGGTGATGTTTCTGGGGAATTGAAGATGTTAGGAATCAGTGTGGAGAAACTGGAGGGCATAGAAGATGAAGAGGATGAGAACAGGTGAAATATTATTTCATATTCCACTTTGAACAAATCACAATTTGAATTTTTACAGATTCACGCGTCTGGGTGAAAAGGTGAGCCAAGTTCCAAGGCCAAGCTTAAGCAGCTACTTGCGACGCTCCAATGTGAGACCAAGCGCGACTCTTCAGCAACTGGCGAACCTTTACGACTCCCTCAGCAAAGACGCGAGGAAGCAAGGATTCGGCAAATACACAGGATACTCCGACGAGGTTCTGAATACCCTCGAAACATCGGCAGAGGGTGGAATCGGGTCGCAGTTAAAAAAAATCCTTGATAAAGTGTTAGAAAGAAACGAGTTGACGAGGGACGACTCTAAGACCAGGACTCATCAAGCTGTTCGGGATCTTAATAATCCTTCGAGCACCCTCAATAAGGAACTGAGACCTCTATTGCCTTTACGATACTCGCCCTAACGTCTGATTTACAATTAATCTTCAGAGTATATTTCAATTTGTCTTCTTTCCGAGTACATCGAAAAATAATAATTAAGAAGATAATTATTTATATTGTTTCTTTCCCTTTTTTTATTCTTACCGAAGATCTCACCGTTCGTTAGCGATATTAAAATCAATACTATAAATGTGATGTAACCGAGATTACTATTCATGTACAATTAATACTGAATAAAGATTTCAAATATGATTAGTTGACTCATTAAACCGCAATGCTGATTAATGAATAATAATGATACTGACTCATGCTCGATTTTTTGGCAATGAAAAAGGAATGATTCATGCATTTCTTTAGAAAAATTCTATAATATTGTCTGAAATTTATTACAAAATACTCTCGTATAACGTTGCAAACAAAACTTACCTAACAACATCCCAATATTTCGCAACGTTTTAGTTAACGAAGGCTCCCTTGATACACCATGTTTCACTTGCAAAATACCAAACAGTTCCACGGTCAAAATTCCGCTGTTGTCCATCCGTAATCCGCGAAATTGATTTTGTTTTTTCAATCCGCCTTGACCCAAGGGACGATATTGTTTATTGGTCGGGCAATATGAGCTGGCAGAGTCCACGGAACAGTGTTACGTGCTTCGGGTAAGAATATCGTTGGGCAACATCGTGTCAATGGTTTGTCCACAGGGCAACGACGTAGACAAGAGACAATAGAAACAAGTGTTTCATTCAATTAGGTGTATCGAAACTCTACGCCATTGTATTGCGCGATGGTATAAATGGGTTTTGAAATCAATGGGTCCTCCAGTCGTTGCTTCGCTTCGTCCGAAAGGAATCATTGAAAGAGAACAGGTGATCGTGCCATCCTAAGGGTACCATGAAAATTATTCTTCTGGCATTTTGCTTTCTTTGCGTGAGTTATTGCTTTCTGATATTCCTCGGTGTTAGGTGATCCGAAGTGGAGCTTTCATTTTACAAAATTTCATTTCTACCGGGAGTTTAACGTCAAACTGTAACATTACCGCGTGATATTAATGTTAATAAAAATACAAAGAAATTGTTACATTGTTTTCAGCTCTCCACGATGAGAGTGCGATCGAAGCCACAGATAACTAGACTCTATCCGATCCAAGAAATGATCGAACGCGAGCAAACCAACACTGAGACGAAGCCTCTGGACAAATTATTTGGAAAATTGCGAGCCACGTACAACTTCGTGTTTCGAAAGCCAGAGAACACGAGTAACGTGGAGAAAATTTTGGCCAAGGATGCGCCTGACCCTGACGTACAAACGTTGAAATCGATTTGGCTGAATCGAATGGAACAGTACCGGAGGATTAACCAGGACGCGGAGAAATCACGTGAACCAGAAAGGACATATTTGTCCGACGACGATTGGGTGAACGATATTCAACCGTTGGATCGTTTGGAACCATTGGAGTTTGACGAGGAAGATATGGAAGATAAAAATCGGGACGTGGAGTTTGTTACTCCGAGGAATGGCTTTCAACTTCCGGTCACCCTGAGCCGCCATCTCGTCGACTGGCTTGGCTCGCTTTTGGGAATTACTTATGGTGTTTACTCGAAATTGGCTAGAGCCATTTATACTAACAATACCGTGACAAATAATTAGGAACTCATTTTATATACGTATCAAAGTTTGGACAAAGAACATTATTATCTGCTGTAACCTATGGTCTTTCAATAAAATTTAAGTAAAAATATTTTTGTTGTCTTTTTAAAACATTCGTTGATTGTTTTATCACGCGAATTCAATATATAATTAAACAACGAATGTTTTCTTGACACTTATTTTATTCAAAAATATCTTGGTCTGAAAAATACATGTGTTACCTCTTGTTCGTTCATTTTCATTTTTTTTTTTCTTTTCTTTCTTTTGGTATATCATTGTATCATACAATAACAATCGCTCGTCGAGTAACACGTAGTTGCAAATGCAATGTATCCATTGTTAAAATAATTCATCATTGTATCGTCTTAACTATGATGCTCGTGCGAATGGCCACACGCACAAACATCCTTACGCTAATCAATTAACATTCGTGGAAAGATCAAACGCCGTTTTCTTAACCCAGGACAGTAGGATAGAAATGATTTTTCTCTTAAATATTCATCGAGTTTTAAGAAATTATTCGATTGTTACTACCCTGGGTTAAGGGGATCGGGTGGTTGAAAGAAGTTCAGAAGGAAGAGATAAAATACTGCTATTTTCACGAACATTCAAAGTCTTTGGTTCTATGATAACGCGGTAAAAGCCTTATCTTAGTGCAGGCCTGCTCAGCAAGTTGCCCCACGGGGCATTTATCCTTTCGTTCGAGCCTATGGATAATCAAATGACGGGAGAGATAGGGGAGAATTGGGAATAGAGGACGAAATTTCCACTGGAGGCATTTAATTTGCTAACCAAATCTATGGGAAATCATATGATGAAAATGCGACCATAACAATGAATAGTAGGAAAGGAAGGAAGTTGCCCCAAGGGCACCTAATTTGGACAATCCTCAAACCTATTATGTATCAATTACGTTGCTTCTGTCCATGGATGCCATTAATGCCCGACACCACACTTGCTGTGCAGGCCTGGCTTAGTGCCATCCGCAATTACTCTTGTTCTAATCTCAAACATTCAAACATTTGAAAAAATCTTGAACAATCGCAGATAGAAGGGGTTCAACGAGGATACCGTCATCCATCGTTGATTTAGGTTGTCAAGAAATTAGTATGAATAATTTCATACTACAATATAGAATTTTTCTATAGATTCAATATTTAACGAAGTAATTAATTTCTCCATAGGGTGATTAAAATAACTATTTTATCTGAAGGAAAGGATAAAGTTTCAATAGTTTCATTTTGTAACATTAGCCCTCGTCGTTCAATGGCATGATTAATAAAGAATATTTAGTGTGTTTTATGCGAGACTGCATACGTTAACCCGTAAAAAATTATTTAAAATTCTAATTTTTCGACAACCGTTCGATTTTAAGATCGTTTTCTTGAGCAATATTATCTACCTCCGCTCACATTCGTAAGACTATTAAGAATAAATATTAGAAAAAAATGTCTGGCGGAAAGATTTCGATTTCGATTTTGGAACCTTAACTCTTTCATGCATTATAGTTGTCTGCAATAAAAAAAATCCCAAAATAATACTTTTCGCTCTAATTCTTTGGTACACAGGAACAGAAAAGATTCCATAAAGTTCAGTAAAATCATCTGTAAAACCTTTGTAAAACGATAAAAGTTCCATTTACTGATAAATTAATCTAAAAAAAGGTATCGGTGAAAAGTGATGATAAAAAAATTAAAAATTTCTTCCGCATGAAAAAGTTAAAAATGAAATTCATCGTGACGAGTGAAGAAGCCTAATATTCTTCAAATATCCGGTTATGATAAATGAACACGGACGAATCAGAGATCAAAGAGAGTTCAAACAACGCACCTATCAAGTCTTTGTCAGGTAAAATTTGTAATAGCACTTATATACACGAAATTATCCTATAAATTTCATAACATTTATCGGCAGTATTCTATTATTTTCTATTGGTACTCGTTCAGAGATATCGTTTATCCTAATGGCAGATTGGCTTTTCATTACCATTGCTAATAAAAAAGAAAACTGCACTCGAAATTCGTACTCACGAAGAATCCTTTGTACGAAACTCGAGTTTCATCCCCATTGTTGTCATCGTCATAGACTAGAACCAGTAAACAAACTATTTTCTTTAAAGCTAGTTTACACGAGACAGTCACGGTGTGCACTTAAAAGTTACTTCACCCCCTATTATTTTTTTTCCTCTTTTATGTATTTCTTATAACGCTTTTACTAATTTAGACTCTCTCAGGCTCTATTACTGTTTAGCGGACGATCCCGAAGAATGAAATATTGATATTTCATTCAAGCAATGGAACTTAACTATAGTTCATAGCTCTTCAACGCGTGTCCGCTTTGAATACAAATATAAGGTACTGCTTGCTTGCATACTAATTGCTAAATCGTGATCGAAAGTTTCATGAATTCTCCCTTCTCGGAATGAGAACCTGACTAATCCTTTAAGTTAATTTTTATGAAAAAATTCAGATCAATACATACCAATTAGAAACTCAATTTAATTGCACCTGAATACCTTCAGCTAGCTCAATTACCATTTCTTCCTTTTTTTTTTTACCTTTTGTATTTCTTCAAGTTCTAGAATATACTCCAATTCCTAGTACACGTCTAACACGTAATTTTCTATTTTGTGCTAACTCCAACGCCCCTCGTTAAACAGCCTTTATTGCTTTGGATTTTAGACGAGTTTTGTCTACGACTAAGATGGCATTAAGTACCTTGTATTCTGAGGCAGAATCTCGTTCATATTAACAGCCTGTTGCTGCAACACGTTCGCCTCCTTCATCGCTTGTTCTTTAAACGTCGAGAAGGTGTGCAACAAATTCTGATCTTTTTGAAGGTTCTGAATGTACTGAAGGAAATTAGGCTCCTGTTTGATAAAGCTACCATCCTTCAATACGAAACTAACTTCCTGTTTAGGCATATTGGAAACTTCGGGAGCCTTCTCAAAGGATTCCTTCTGCTCGACGAAAAACGGCTCCTTCTTCATTCTATTTCTTCTGATTCCTAAATGCGTTTGAGTATGTTTATTCAAGTGATCCTTCCTGGAGAAGGCTTTTTGGCACACTGAGCAGGAGAAATTCTTGTCGCCAGAATGTATAACGTAATGCCTCGTTAAATGTTCGTTCCTCTTGAACGCTTTTTGACACACCGGACATTTGAACGGTCTCTCGTCCGAATGGCCACGCATGTGTTGATCTAGATGCTCTTTTCGTTTCAACATAGCGCCACATTCTTTGCATTGATACTTACGTTCCTGAAAAATTAAATTCACGTTGATTTAACCCGTCTGCATTTGTAACTGAACATGTTTGGGATAATAGATACATACTTGTATGTGAACTTGTATGTGTTGCTCAATTTCCGTCTTATCCGGAAATGCTAAATTGCACTCTGGACAACAATAGAGAGTCGAACCATCTAACCCAACGCTAATTTTTATTTCACCGGTTTTTGCCCGGAATTTCATTTTCTTCTCAGTTTTCGGAGAGTCCGTTTGTATCTGCTGTTCAACCTTAATAGTTTGTACCGTGTTTTCGTTCTCTTGTGGGCTCTCTATGTGCACATTCAGATCATTTGGATTAATAGACACCATCATCTGATCCGAATTCATGTAAGTGTTCCCATTTTGCAACTGAGTATTTCTGAACACTGGAACACTGGGAATGTTGAGAATGTTGTTTTGAGAGTGTTCCACCTTCTCCTCCTCTGTTTTTTCCTTCTTCACTTGCTCTGTTTGCAACTTAATTAATTGCTGCAATGTTAGTGGAAGAGTAGTGGCTTGTAATTTTTGGAAGTACTCTGCCATGGCACTTTGTTGCTGAAGTTGAACTTGAGAATCTTGCTGAAATATTATATCTTTAATTTAACAGATGCATGTACAACTTTCTAAACATTTAAGCTGCTAAAGTAAAACCATCTACCATAGTTGGGGGTTTCATCTCATTCTCACTCCTTGTATCTAAATCTTGTTTTATATTCTCAGGTTGAGATGTCGATGGCAAATACATATTGGGTATGATCCTTACTGGCAAATTATTTGACTGAACGCTAAGTATTGAATTATTTTGATTGTAATTAGGAATGTTGATAGTTTGAATGCCCTGCTTTTCACAAAGTTGCATCAAAGTGTTTGGATCTGGCCATGCAAGTATTGGTCCTGCATATTTGTTAGTTGAATTCACCTGAAATAAAACATCCTATTAGTACATATAAGAATCGATTAAAAACAATAGATGTTTCATTCATTAAGATCATCAGTCTTACAAATAAACTCTGTTTTGCATGATTTACTGGGGCGGTCGTATAAACAAGCGTTTGTTCGATTTGAGTATGATCACCGCTTGTAAATTTCGACAAGGGAATTACGTTTGAACGGGATGTTAATTCCGAAAATTGCGGGAGAGATCCATGGACAAGATTGTTCCCCGAAAAATCCATTTTGCCGCTGATGAACGTGAAAAAATACGCGCGCCTTTGAGATTAAAACATGCGAACGTTTCTAACCTATATCTACCGCAAGTAACAAACACAAGCGATGGCTATTATCACGTTTTCAGTCTCATATTTCTCGAGTCGCGTGAAAATACACAGGATACCGTCGAGACGAAACATCGGTGGATAAACACGAGACGACTAATTAAATTAAAAATTTCTTGAGGAGCGACGATACATTACAACGTACGCCGCGTCCTACGCGATGCTCCAACATGGCTGCAATAAAGCACTATCTCTGAAACTGTATCTACCATCTTCCAATATGCCAAAAACCCTTCTGAAACTATCAATTGGAACACACCCACCTCTGCACCAGTTAATCATACATATATCTTTTAGAAAAATAATGTAAAACAATGAAACATTTTTATTTACTTTCGAAAAAAATGTGCAAGGAAAAAAATGAGTTTATTACTTTGGCAAGACTGAGATGCATCTTTCTGTTTACAAAAGACGCCTGACATACTTCAATTACTACAAAACCAAAATAAACACTTCATCGTAAGTTTTTCTCCCCGAGACAAAATAAGAAACTACATAAAATTAATAATTAAAAATGATATTAACTTATGGATGAGAGTTTGAATGAGCGAATAAATAGGTTACGAGAAAGAAGTCGGTTCTTCTTAGCACAGGTAGAGGTGAATTCTAAAAAGGTTAAGGAACTTAGGAAACTATATTCGCAAAATTTGTGAGTATTACTTATAATTATGTTTCATTTGAATATTGTTCATGACCTTAACTATCCTGTCACTTACAGGTCATCAAGAGAAGGCTATACAACTCATACAAATGATCCTAGCTTACTCAATAAAAGAAGTATTAAATCATGGAAACTAAGAAATGATTCCAAAGGAGTTGGAGCTGCTTTATGTTCAGATTACTTCTGTAATAGTCCAAGACAGCCATCTACATCAATGCCTAATATACCAACAACCAAAAGATTATTAACATCCACAAAAAAACATTCTGAAAATCAATGCTGCTTAGAGCACATTAACAGAAAGCCAGTAAAAGAATGTTACTGCAATCCTAATAACAGAAAAATTCAGTTAAGATCAGGGAGAACTCAACATAAGCAACGTTCACCTTGCAAATACCATAAAAGTCACACATATACCAGTGCAGTGACTATAGAAGATAATGAGAAACAACTCTTAACTTCACCAATTAGTTGTGAAACTTTAAGAAGGTTACAGAAAATAGACTATGCACCCAGGTCTCAATTCTTGCGAAATGTCCAGAGCAAAGTTTCTCTCTTACAATCAACAGCTGCTAAAGGAGATTGCCCAGAAATATGCTCCAGATCACAATACTATCATGAATTTATGTCTAGACAAGCCAAACCTCAGGATGAAAAATCAGAAAGGAAGAATCACTTGACAAACTCTGAATCATTACCTAAAATGCCCATAACTTTGGAGCCTAGTAAAAGTAAAAGTTCTGAACTGGAGAATGTAGATAAGCTTAGCAAAGGAATTCAAGTGTCTTTGAAGAAACAACCAAAACCAAAGGCTGTGGTCAAAAGAACACTCTCCTCTAAGAAATCTGTACCTGATTTAAAAAAGTCAAGTTCGAAATTATCGACTAAGAGTAAAAGGATATCTATTAACAAGGACTGCCCGTGTTGCCATAATAATAAGTCACAATATTCTAAAACTACTCCTGAAAATTACGTCGTTTCAGGAGATTATCAACCTACGGTCTGCATAAATAAAGACCAAGAAGAAATTGATAAAGAACATCTTTCCGACCAAGAGATCAGAGAATTAAGAAAATTTCGTGAACAGAATTATTTCGACACCCATGGATCGAATCATACTTTAGTCTCGTCTAAGTCCTCTGGTTCGCTAGAACAATATTTTTTGAACGACAGACTGTTTCCGGAAGCCGCGAAGAGGATCCACAAGAAGGACTTGGTTGTAACAATGCCAGCTTGTGCCACCGTGCAACGAAAACGAATACACTATTTTCCTCGCTACATTGTTCGTCAAGAGAAAAACAATTTCAATAGCAATTGCAAAAAGAAGCGCTACCAATCGTGTCCTTTAACCGGTCATGCCATTGATCTTGGGATCACAAAAATTAGGTCTCCTTTAAACAGTTTAGCTCTTAAGTACCAGAAACGACTGCCTTGATTAATTTATAGAAAATACTTAGAACGATCGTGTTCGGTAGCACGTGAATTTTGTATAGAACTTTCAATGTAAATTGTATTTATAAAATCATGTATGTACGTGATCTTATACTCGACAGGAAATCTTGTAGAATCTACTGTTTTTCGTGGTCATGATGGATTCGTGACCTATAACGAGTTCAAGCTCGCGGAATGTAAATTTTTATTGAATAAAAGATGCCCAATGAAGATGCCGTTCTTTTACTCGTAATGTGTCAGTAGTTAGACTCTGAACTCTCTCTTAAATTTGAGTTCTCTGAAATTTTTCCCTTCGACTCGCTCCTTACGCTATGCTTCTCTATAGACACCAAGGATGTTATGTATTTATCTATTCATCTGTAAGACGAATTGTTCCTTTTTGCGCATAGCGGAAAAGGAAAAAAGATTCTATCTTTGCATGCAGCTCGAGCACGAGAAGAAAAAAAAGCATGAAGAATTGTTCTTTGGTAAATTACAAGTACGTGATGACCATGACTAAATAGTCTGACCAGTGTGTGCACCTTCTGTGACCTTCATTCTTTGAGACGAAAATTTGTTTCTTCGAAAAGACATTTTTATTTTTTTTTATTTTAAAAAGTGGCATCTTTTTTAGAGGGTAGATCACGTACTTTAACTTTCCGCCTGAAACTTTCTAGAATCAGGATTTTTCGGGATTAATAATGAACGGGCTTGTTAATTGATTTTCGGTCAAGAACGTCGATCATGTAATTAAATATTCGTTTATGGAACATTGAACCTATAGGACGTCGAGCTCATTAAATACCGATACGTCGTGTTGAGGAGCAATATCGTTAATGAAATACTTGGTACAAACGAAAACTGGTTTCTTGGTTTCTCAACGAAACAGAAAAATGATTGAGAAATAATCCAACGATCAAGAGTGTAATAAAGGGTTAATAATAAATGAGAAGGGGAGCAAGGATATTTGGATTTACGTAGAAACAAATGAGTTTCTTATTCGCGAAGAAGGTGTTGTTGAAAAACAGTGCTGGTTAATGCATTTCGTTGTTGAATAAATTAAAGCTGGAACAGGACATCAGTATTTACTTCTATCTGATTCATTCGTAAATCGCGCGTTATCTGGTATTAAATGTTGAAGAGAAAATGCGATTGCACTTTAAGCTTTTAACAGCCAGAAAACCTGTCGCCCTTGCGAGGTGATTTACTGATGCGGCTTCGCTTGTGATGGAAAACAACTCGATTAGGTTCCATTTGTCACATTGTAAAGTTAGCGTTCAGTTTTGCGAACGGAGGTTTTTATGGTGTTTCGTAATCACCATTTAACTATTTAATTGCTCGGTTTCGCGGTTACCTTGTTATCCCTTCTTTTTCATTTTGTTGATTTCAGAAGAAGAAGAATTATATGTCCTTTTTCATCTTTCTTCTTTGCAATTTCCAATTCAAGGAATTTCATTTTCATATCGCACATACTTTATGCAACGTAACAAACATCAATTTGTAATTATAGTTTGGTTTCACAGTTGCCTTGATATTTATTCTTCCTTGATACGCATTTTTTGTTTTGTTAAATTACACTTGTAGATACAGAACGATTCAAATGAAACTATAGAGTTTCTGATGATATATCAATTAGCAGACATTATAATAAAGGATATGTTTCTCATTAAGAGGTTTCTAGAATCTTAGAAGTCCTAAGACCATGAGCTTGGTGAAGGGCCAAAGAGAGCAAGAAAAGCTAAAAAACAAGGTTGCAGACCGGTCAATGACATTTGACAAGGCAAAATCTGTAATTTTGACGATGATGACCGTGAACGATCGTGGAACAACAACTTTCGAGTCATCCACCGGAAATTTTTGATCACCTTTCGATCAGAATTCTTCCATTTGAATTAACAGAATAATTTATATAATATTTAAAATATTAATTCACTTAATAATAAATTATACTGATTTCTGATCACTTCTATCTACGAAGATTTCATCATTAAAATAATTGGATCTGAGCGAATAACAATCATCGTCTGAAATTTATGTAAATCAGTCACGAGTATTCAATTTTCTTAGACTGGTCTTATCTTGTTATTTTTCTGGCATCTGATGTCTTTATTTAAGCGAAAATCTCTTACATCATCATATCATTTCACGTGTATATTAATATATCAAATAGTTAGGAAGAAATTGATTTCTATTACAATGGTAGCTTGGAATTGATACAAATTGTTAAAAGTGTAAATGAAAAATAATTGTCTCAATAGATATGTTATCCTTGTTATACTTTTAAATCAGCGAACTCGCGTCAGACTGCAAAATGGAAATTTTGTAAAAAACATTATAACATCGGATTGTCATATAAAAATTAACTCAATGGTATTCGCAGTGTTCGATTTGAATTTCAAATTCATCGATCAATGATTGTTGAAACGGTGTTACTCATTGCTAACGTCTATCATTAGCTATAAAAAACAGATATCGTCTTTTTTAACAAATACTTCGTATTGGATTAACGTTGTTTGAGATCAGTGAACCTTGAAGAAGCCCTCGATGACCGTGAATTGATAACCTTGCTCTTTTCGAACCAGGTAAAGCTGTGCATATTTAATCGAACGTTCATAGTCTATCAAGGTAATAAATCGATGATATATCAATTTTACATCATTTACCGAAGGATCGATCCTACTGACTTTTGGCGAACGCACTCTGCGATAGGATTTAGGCCTTGATGATGTCGATTTCAAAATATAATTTTCCCTAATTATTAGTTAATGCCGCACTACCATAAGAACTCTAATTAAGTGTTGGTAATGAGTTCTCGAAACTTCATTAAAGTTACAATGCAACAGATTTATTTAAACACGCGTGATTTTCCAATGGCATCTGTCATCTTCATCAAATCGTTTTTTCGATATTTTGCATCCTTTTGTTTTTATCGTACTGAATCATGTTTATGTATTAATAGCCATACAAAACTAACTTTTACCACTTTTTCTATCCTTTTTAATGGACAGATGTCATTTTATTCTAATTGACCGCAGACAAATGTTTATTAAGTTTTTTCTACTTAAAATATTTATATCTATAGCAAAATAATTATTGGTCGTTTATCAAGCGGATTAATGAATAAACATTTGGTCACTAAATATTTAATATTTTTCATATAGTTCCTATGACGCGCAAGCGACCTTTCAGTAGAAGAAAAATAATAACTAATCAGGTGTATAATAAACAACTTGTCTGGATAACATCACACGATGCAATTTATCGTACCTAGGACTTGCATAATTGCTTCAACTGGAATGAAACAGAGTATGCACTTGTGTGTCTTTTACGAAATCATTTCTTAAAGAAATTCTAATGAACTAAAAACGTAATTAATTATCCAGCAGCAATTTTAATATCCACTTTCCTCATAAATATAATGAAAATAGTAATTTTTTAAATACACACGATTACCAAATAATTTGTCGTGATCTAATTTCGAAGATGTTCACGATTAAATGAAATCACTGTACAAATACAGGGACAACAATTAATTCGGTCAATAAACGTCTCGAGGTGCTGACTCGCGACGTTCAAAAGGGAGAAAAAGCAAAAGGAGCAACGTGCAAACTTGTGTGCATGCAAAGCACTTTTACTTTCAAAGTGAACGCTTTCAACAGAGGATAAAGGAACCATCGAAAAAGAAAAACAATTAGTTTTTCTCCTTCGTTTGAATCTCTTCATTGCAATATCTACTAAGCAATAATTGCCTAATGTCGTATCATTCGATGTAAAAAGTTAAACATCAGAATCACCGGTATAAACATGTAGATAATAATTTCTATTTTATTATTATTCAAGAATGGAAATTTCAAGAAATAATGAAAGATTATATATTACAACATTAAATTGGAGCCTAACTGGAAGTCGTGAATGGAAGCACGTATAACAAGAAAAGTTTTCCATTTTTCAGGTGAATCATCTTAAGTGGCCATGTATTAGTCCGTTTCAAATATAATACGAAAAGGTTATTTTTTTATTTTTTCCATAATCTTGTAAGAAAGAGGCAAAAGTTTCCTGGTCAGCCTGATGGTGGGGTGATGGTGCTGCTTAAATAGACTGCATCAATGAACGTTTCTTTCAGTTCACATTCAACTGTCCGAAGGAATAATCATCGGGAAGAAGCTAGAGAAATCGTGAATTGTTTATCGAGGGGATTAAAGGACCGATCTAACAATGAAGAGGATTTCTACAACTTTGATCGTCGCGACGGTCCTGTTATCGATGGTCCTTGCAATTGATTTACGTGAGTTACTTATTTCTCTATTTCTAATCAACAATGAAAATCAATAGATTTTCGTGAAGATGGATTTTCTTGTAACTTAACTTTCTGTTTCTTGAGTGATACTGTTAATGACACCTTTGATTACTCGAAAATCGAATTCTTTCAACTGGGGTGCAGTGCAAGTGCACATGCATCAACATCAAAACAATCAACAAATTGAATTCATGTAAAATTCTTTTCACTGTCGATAAATCTAATCTATTATTTTCTGTGACATCTGAGTTTTGTCTACTGGACATACGAAAAATGTTCTCTATCTTTCATTTCTTAAGAATCAATTTAAGAGCCACGTGTTGCACATGAATCTGTGGATTAAGGTCAATGTCGTGAAGCGAAACGAAAATGACCTACGAGATTTTAGGATAAAAAAGTAGTAAAAAGTGTAAAGTGGTAGGCAATGGTATCCCAGTGAAACGGTCAATTGATTTTTCGCAACTCGATCGAAAAGTTATTAGACCACTTAAAGAGAAAGTCAATTCCGAGCTTCAGTTCGGCTTCTCGTAACTGGTGCTGCACTTTATTGGATCCACTGCAACCCGTTTACGTAACCCTTGTTCGCGACATTTTTGTCATTTATTTCTTTTTTTTTTTTCAGCGAGCACCTTCAAGATATGCAGTAGAACGCTACCAGACAAGGAGTACTACGAATGCATCAGTAATTCGGCGAAAAATGCCATTGTTTCATTGGCTGGAGGTAAGTGCATTTATTTTTTTTTTTTTTTGTAGAATGAAGAAATCGCAATGATGCATTTTGTAAAATGAGAAACGAAGGATACTAATGGTTTTGCAATCCTTCAAATTGATTAAAATTAATTAACTGTAGAATTTAGATTCACACGAGATAAATCTGTGCTGAATAATTTATGCAATGTAATAGCTATTTAATATCGAGGTGAGAAAGATACAAGTGGAATTTTTTTAACTATCACTATTTCCTAAGTAACTCTTCAAAATTAATTTTGAGTTTTCGTTGACAAAAAGATTCCTAAGAACCTGAACGAAAATCCGTGATTGCTTAATCGTTCGGTGTACCATTAAATGAACTATTGAACTTTATGAACGGTCAAACAACCACTCGTATAAAAGTCATTATCGCTGTACTACATATACAGTTACCGTCGAGTTGTCATTATGCCACCGGTTACATAACTATTTCACCTGACCGATCGTGTTCCCCACTGTATCGTGGAATTTTCATTGAGAAACAGGTATCTCCGTTGCTTTTACTATCAAACGAGTACTTTTCATTTAATCGTATTTTTAATATTTTTGATTATTATTAAATAATCATCACACTCACAATTAGTGTTCTTCAATAAAAAAATGAAATTTTCTAATGCAAAATTCATTAGCTTCCAATTTTCTTTAGAAATCAAAGTAATTCCAAGTGAAACTCATTCCTTCTTCTTTCAACATCAACACATGCCACTTTTTACACACATTTTCTTTCTCCTTTCTTGATCGATTATGCGATCCTATGAACCGATTTCTGCGTTGATTTCACCGGAGCAATGCACGTTGTGCATTTCCTCAAAACTGGCATTAGTTTCTCCGACATAATCGCGAGTAGCAATTTGCAGATATTCTCATTTTCTGAGCCTTTGACAAAAGCTGAACCACAAGGAGTCTCTCACATAATATTTTATCATTGCAGGTTTGAAAAGTTTCAAGATCCTTCCGATAGAACCTCTGGCTGTCGACAGCGTGAAAATTGGTGAATCTCAAGGATCAGTCACGCTTAAGCAAGAATACAGAAACATCAAACTGTATGGCCTCACGAAGCAGCTTCAAATTCAGAACTACCAGTAAGTTGTTAAAATCCTTTCTCCTATTCTTAAACTTTAATTGGAAAGCTTATGATGGGAGTTGGGAGATCTCCTTGGGTTTCTCTATTCGTAAGCTTACGAGTTGCAAGTCGAAACTCTCCTCATTAGGTTTCTCTGCTCATAGCTTCCCAATGATGTATTACATTCCTCAATTACACTGCCTCAAATGTAAGTATGAAAATGAGGCAGCTAGCATACACCGAGTCAGTTATTTACGGTCCGAGGCGGAATCATGAAGATTACAAAAACGGCTCGTAAATAAAATTAATCCAATACGAATGGTCTACTCGTTAGAACTTATGCAATCATTCGCGAAAGAACTTCATGATGTGCATCGATGATCATGTTTGTAAAAGTCCACCAAATATGACTGGGACGACACGTCGGTTTATAGTTGTCAACAATATGTAGCATATGATCGTTCGTGTTATTGTATTAAAAATAGTATGTAATATATGACTACGTGTAGACGTCATTTGTGTAGAAACAACGAAAGAAAAAACTAACTCGTTGAATTGTTACGAGGTAATTAAATCTAAGGTGTTGCGATGATTAATTCTTGTTCTTCTTGTTTATTCCTTTTTTCTTCAGCATCGACTGGGACAAGTGTCTACTGTCGTCGGATTCTTTAAATCCTCAGGTGGACTTCGTAGCTGATTACAAAGTCGATGGTAGAATATTACTGTTGCCCATCAGAGGTTCTGGCAAATCTAACATCACCATGTGTGGGTATATTCGGTAGTGGCTTAAGAAAATTTTGGTGTAACAATTTTTACGTGGAATATCTATTTTTCAGACGATCTAAAGACTCACAATAGCATATACTGTGAAAAATACCAAAAGAACGGAGAGACTTATTTGAGGGTGAAGAAATTCGGGGTGAAATTCTCCCCTGCTCGCGTGACATTACGATTCGAAAATCTTTTCGACGGTGACAGTGTCTTGGGTAAGTACCCGTAATAAAATCATATATTAGAAGTTCTTGTAAAAAACGCAGGAAGAACGCATGCTTTTACATTAAATTTAAATCTAAATTAATAAACTGCATTATCATGTTTCAAACTTGTCAAAGGTATCACTACAGAGGATATGTAATTTCTGTTTTCTTTCATAAATTCATAAATATTTGAAGCTACTAATTTAATATGCACGTCAAAGAGCAATAACAATTATCTTTTTTCCATTTCCATTGAGAAATATTATCCTAGTTATTCATCAAGGTTATCGTTAAGATTGAAAAAAACGACAATGCGTTTAACATTTCAATGTTTCTATTATACTGACTGTATATAAAATGTTTAAAACATGACTGATACGTTTAATTAAGTCTAATGTATTCATACCTTTCTTTTCCATTCTAGGTGAGCAAATGAATCGTTTCATCAACGAGAACTCTGACTTGCTCTTCAAGGAACTCCAGGCGCCTTACGAAGAAACTTTCGGTTTAGTTTTCGCGAAAATTACAAACGAAATATACAGTCGTGTACCATTTAATAAACTCTTCCCCCCATCGTAAATTTAATACTCATCATTTTGTACATGCGTAAAACACATTGAGACTTATTAATGTATTTTGTAAAATAAATCTGGATAAAATATTTTCACGTGCCAAAAATGTAATATATTTATGTTATATGTATAAGTATCAGGATTAAAATAAAGAAACTGTTTAAATATTGCCATGAAAATTACTACAGTTTATATTCTTTACAGTGTAATTATATTATATTATAATTACAGTGTAATTACATAAGTTGACAACTTACCGACTGCCGCAGAGTTAGTCGGATAAGTCATCGAGTAGTTTTAGTCGAATGTAAGATAAATGAAACTTATCCAATATGTATAAAATAAACGACATTGTTTATTTTTTTTAACTATTAAAAAAATGTATAACGAATTCAAATACAATCTTATAAACTAAATCGTGGAATTATTTAAAAAAATGTTACGTCAACGTGTATTATTAAGAGATGAAGTATTGTTCCGGATTTTAAAAAGTAAAAGTCCAACTGCAAACAGGATATGTGGCAAATTGGTATCTATCAATGCAAAATTTACTTTAAGCTATAATTTATATATGTATTTTCATACATTATACATAGTATTTGTGATAACCTTTGTATCAAATTTTTAAATGGTTAGGTTTCTTTTACTGTTTATATGATGTTATAAAAAATTATTTACAATGAATTGTTATTCTAGAACCACAATGTGAAAAACATTGTCTTATTATCAGAAGATGAACTTTGTGAACTTTGGCAACATGTGAAAAGTATATTGTTTGAAGCTAAAAAGTTGTACACACGGTCATCAAACAATGATAGGTATACAAAAGTAAGTTCATTTACATAAATTTAATAAATTCATCATTTTAAGTCATATTTCACCCTAATATTTCCATTATAATTTTAGGAATATAGTGTGATGATCAAATTAATACGTTCAATAACTGCCATAACACTTGAGACAATTACACAACGAATGTTTATACCTAATCTTCTATTACAAAATGTAATGTTGTTACATTCTGTTATATTTCCTAATATAAAAAATGAACAGGTTGGTATTTTATGACCATGCTTCTTATCTCTAACAAATTTCAAGTAACAACATTTTTCTAGGTCAAGAATGAAATATCATGTCTTCTGGAAAACTGGTGGAAATTAGACATGATATGGAAAGAGAAAGTGATAACAAATGCTTTAATATACCTCATCCAAAACTGTAAATCTTCATTGGTAATTCTACATTAAGCAAATCATATAACATATGTGTAAATTGCTGATGTTAACATGATTCACTTTGGTTTTAGTTACATGTAAAACGTTTATATGAGATAAAGTCTAGTATTATATTATTAAAATCTACTAAAGATGTACAAGAATTACTTAAACTTGTTAGAGAGAATACTGTAATGTCATTTGAAGAAGGTCGGATGTTGTTACTACACTTGTTTACACTTGGGGAGCAATATATCTTGGTACATACTCTAATAATACAGTGACATATCAATCTATATGAGATTTAATGTTAACTTTTCTAGGGAATCCATAATAATGTGAAGGTAGTACTACAAGATATTGGACATAATTATATTACCAGATATGCAGATTTATATGTTACAGCGTGGGTGAATACGTCGAGAAAATTGAAAAAATTTATTGTTGAAAATTGTTTTCAAGATATTATTTTTCATTGTTTTCATACACATAGAGATTCCAGGGGAAGGGGGAAACTCGGCAAAAATCTGCTTTCATTTTTGACTGCTATTCATCATAATAAAAATCAAACAGTAAGACTAATGATTCATAGTCAATGTAAACCTTTACTTTGGAAGCATTTAAAGGTATTAATAAAAAGAAATATATGTACGCATACACGTATGTACATGTTTTTGCATGAATTCTGGATATAATTGTTTTCACAGGCACCTGGTTCTTACACTAGATGTAATGCAATAGAAATTCTTTTCATTACAAGCTCTATACATTTTACGTATGCTATACAAGCTAAATATAGAACGTATCTTGAAAAATATTATGAGATGATAACCGATCTTCTAAATGATTCCGATTATGAAGTTTGCAATATTACCATGACCGTAAGCTTTGTATCGACGATTTGATACCCTAAACGTTTCAATTAAAATTGTACCTAATTATTAATATCCTATAATTTTAAACGTTCTCAGGGTATTTTCAAAATGTTAGAAAAGTATTGGAATCATATTCCAAACAGCTACATTCACAATTGGTTAAACATTTTACTACGTTATACAAAAAATTCCAGCAATTCTGAAATGAGAGCAAATGTTTTCATTGGTTTAAAAAATGTATTAGTTCATAAACGATCACATAAGATAATTAAGGATTTTCTACGAAATTTTTCATACAGCATTTACGATAAAGACAGCGCGGTACTAGATGCGCTAATCAAACTTCTTTGGCACGTACAAAATCAATTTGAAATGCCGTTTTGGAATATAGTACCTTTAACGTACATTCTTGATCGCTTAGAGGTGCCTAACATAATTATAGTAACATGTGCATTGTTGCAAACAGGATGTTATAATATTATGATTTTCAGACTACTCAAAATATATTTTTATTGCGTGAATTAATAAAACTCACTTGGTCATGTATATCGTTAAATAGTGCAGATTATAGTCACATGACAGATGAAATCACACACGTAGGAATGACAAATTTAAATGCTATTAGAAGGTTTTGTCTTCACTCTACATCTGTTATAAACTGCAATCAGTCGGTGAAAATTATTGAAACCATTTTATCTATAATGAAAGAGGAAATGCAATGCTTAACTTTAAAAAAAATATCGGAAAAAGACTGCAATAAAAAATTGAAGCTCAATAATGAAGAAAGCAATTGTAAAGATGGTAAAAATTTATATGATTGAATTACATATCCAGATGAAACACTAACAGTTTAATTTTTAGTGAAATATATAAACGATTTCGAAGAAGATCTCGGTTATAAAGAAATGCAAATATATGTCGATGTTATTGCTATATTGTTACTAAATAACGTTGAGAACATAGAAAAAGGGAACTTCAACACAGAGAAAACAAATATTTTGCAAGTAACTGCAAATATATTGCCGGAATTTTTTAAGTATTTTGAGGTGGGTGATTCAAAGATTATTCCAATTGTTTAAATTATACAACTATAAGCAATTTTCTTTTTAGGGAACTTCAGTAAATGAATCGATAATATTTTTATTCTCAGTCATACCTCCAAAGTTTTTCCTAAACTTTAATGAAATTGCAGAAATGTTAGTACAACAACTGTATGATCCCAATACTTGTGATGATACAGTTCTTACAATTATATATGGTCTCATGAAGTGGAATAAAGGAGACACAATCTTATTTGCATTGACGAATGTTTTTGCGAAATCTTTAGATATAAATCCGCAACATAACGAGGTACAAATAATGCTTCACAAATATTTATAATAATAAATTTAAAAAATTATTATTGTTCCAGAACCCTATTGACTCAGCTGTGTTTAAAATAGATGAGCAAGGTTTGGAATTAAGTTTACGTATTTTGAAACATTTGCTACATGTCGAGCATCAATCGGTTCTAATAAATAAGTATCATGAAAATCTACTCGGGTTTTGGAAAAATTTAGATAGATTAAAAATTTTTATTGAAAAAGAATTAAGCAACGACTGCAATATGAATGGCGTGAAATCCAAAGATTTAATTGTAACATTTTTTAAAGAGTATGTATCGATGACCTCTTTGTTACATAAAGAAGATGTGTTTGATGCATCACAACATTTCTCAGAAATTTTGTTATGGGTTAAAAGGTATGAAAACTAATTGGATATTTTTATTACTTTTTGTTTTAATATAATAATTTAAATGTTATTTTCAATATAGGATACTGATACCACATATATCGCACATAGACGTGGATACTATAGAGAACTACTCCACTTGTATGGATTTAATAAAAATTACATTTGATATCTCAAATTTATTACTAAAAGGGTGTAATAGTACCCCAAAATTATGTTGCGATATCGTACTTTTATATTGCCGTTGTTTATCTACCGAAATCGGTGTGGCTTTCCTGAATAATGCATTTAATGCAATAATGATTGCATTAGATTTTAGTAAAATAGCTTACGAAAATCAAGAACCAAATTTAATAAATATAGTTGTACCAAATTTTGTATATGTTACAATGATTACTTTAACTAAATGTAAAAAAGATATTCTAATTAAATATACAAACGTAAGTACACTTGAAATAATTTTTAAAAATATTACCCCTATTAAAATATCTGATTTATTGATTGCAGAATTTGATAGTATTGCGCGAATTGACACAGAAGTACTTTTCTATAATTAAAAGTATTTTTAACGATCAAGACATGTGTCTCCCATATATAACTATTATGCTTAATGTTGCAATTAGCAGCATAAGCACAGAGATGACTCGTCTACTTCAAAGTACAACTACTGTAGAAAAAAGTATTTTAACTATGACTTTCCCTTATTTAGCGAAGAAAATATTAAAAATTATTTTAGACATAAAAAAATACCAAAAACTAAGTATACAGGTATTAACGGGAGCAATAACTAATTATACGAGAGTAAGTATCTTTAGATAGACTATGTAATAGCCTACATTTTACTGATAATATATTTTCTTATATTTCAGATTGACATGCTTTCCGCGTTAGTTGTGATACGTCGGATGCTCAAATCATCTCATAAAAAAGTTATCAATAAACTTAAAAATATAACACTAGCATCCAAAGCACACAACCAGAATCAGTCTTATTACACTTCATTTGATAGGTACCATTAGTTTTCATTTATCATAGCAATATTATATTATGTTACCGATGATTATAAAAATAAAAAATTTTACCTTTTCAGATCCATATGTGATGCAACTAATATAGTTATAGATGCAATACTAAACCGATGATAAATAATGTATTATTTATTTAACAAGAGGCGTATTTTTAATATGTATAAGATATGTATATGTTATGTAATTAACAATTTAAGCAGATGATATAACTTCCGTGATATTTTTTTACATTTTATATAACATAAAAAAGATATTTTTATACGAAAAATAAAAGTACAAACTATATAAAATTAATTCTTATAAATCGGGTCTTTTGTGTTATATACTGATAAAATAATACTAAGGAGATTTTATAATTTTCACGTTATAAAAATATATTCTATTTATAGAAATGCAGTTTTTATACAATAATTAAAACATACTTACCTTTTTACATATTCACTACCCAGAAAACGTGATATTTCGCATTTGCCTCACCGCAGCTACAACTCTGGCGTTACATCCGGAACTTCCGGTTTGATAATCTTCCGGCGATAATCTCAATAAAAGGGACATATGTTGCAAATTTTCCGACAAAGATAAACCAAGTTCTTCTAGCACATTACCAAGGTAATCTATAAAATATATTATGTGGATAATGTGAAATATTTTAATAGTTTGGTACAATAGACGATATACCTATGTCCGTAGCAAGTTGTTTGCAGGCGGCAGAGCTTAGAAATTGACAAATTCCTAGAGTTTGATCCAGAAACATCTGACATGTTCCTTTAGCAATAATATCCAACAAGATACCCGTAAATCCAGATTCAGTTGTACCCTGCGCATACTGAGGATCTGCTGCTTTTAGCGCTTGATTGAGACTCGGATTTTCTCTAAGCAAGAATGGTTCCAAATGCTGCGGTAACGTCATCAAATACTGCCCAACCTGTGTTATATATTCTTGAGGTGCAAAACTATAATCAGGTAAGTCTGCGCTTAAATGAGTCATTTTATTTGTTTCGTTCGACCATGCGGGCGCCTTTTGTACTAATAATAACTGAGTAAAAATAGGAGCAAATATCACTTCGTATGTTGCACGATGTAAATCCGAGCACAATTTGTGAATAGATTTTATTATAGCATCAAGAATTGTTTCTTCCTCTGCAAGAGAAAATGATTATATCAAGTATGAAACAGTAGTTGTTTTATGCTGTTCGAGGCTTCCGGGTGTAGTTTTATTCTCGTACAGGAGTTCGTTATTACCTTTTTGGAAAGATGAAACCAAATTTTCTAGGTCTGTCTGATTCGATGTATTCAAAAGTAATTTTTTGTATTGATTGAAAACACTATCAGTCGTACTTTGTAATTTATTATTAGCCTCGGTTATATCGATTACCAAACACTTTTCAAACTGCTGTACTTGGCCCAAAAGATCGCCTATTTAAATCAAAATGTAAGAATTTTGCAAAAAAAAAATTACGGCAGACAATGATATATATGCTACCTATAGTTTGCATCAAAGTGAGACACATTTGAAACAAGTTCCAATCCTCGTGTTTCACTTTCTTGCGTTCCAATTGCCGTATGGTTGCTTGATACTTTTCAAGATATTTATTAAAGTAAGTCTACAAATACGAATAAAATGTTACGACGTATTCGATAAAAGTGATTAATTTGCCCTAGAATCTTTGGCCGAGTAACGTACATTTAAAGATTTTAGTAAACCAGGATATCCACAACCATCTGTAAACAGTTTGCATCTTTTATTTGCTTCATTGGCATACTCCATTACTCTCGAAATGCTAAGGGAAAGAGTACTGATTGTATCACTTAAATCATCTTGGGTACTATCGATAGATTGTAGCTGATGTTCTAGTTGTGCAGTTTCATAAACATGATACTTAACAACATATGGAACATAAGGTGAATATATTGCTTGCGCTAATGACAACAATTTCGAATTCTGTAATTTTCCGTGCGAAGATGATTCGATAACACCCTGTAGGTTCACTACAAAATGTCTTGTGATTTGTTTAAGTTCGAGCAATAGCGACAATTGCATAGCATTTGAATGCTGTTTCAAAACTGATTCTATACATTCTGGAATGCCTGGATCTAAACTTCTTAGAAGATCAGCATACACTTCGACTATAATGTCAACTGAAGTATTTGGAAATACTTGATGGCACCATTTCACTTGATCATTCCAAGTGGACAACAGCTTATCATAATAGGTATGTAACCAGTAGGAGACATTTTCATCTTGAGCTAACTCAATAGTTCTACGCCATTCTTGCCCCAATGAGATTTTCAAACAGTTGTGATAATACTTAAGGAGTTGTGGTAACCGGTCCATTTTACTAAATATGTCCACATAAACTTTGGACTCTTCTAAATTTGCAGCAGTAAATGCTTGTACTAATCTTGGACTAGCCATTGCTTCTAAACGATTTTTTAAACCTTCCAGTTGCAACTTTTTATCTTCATAATCAACAACATTCACAAGCATTGCCAGTGATTTTTGCATACTGAACAATTTGTTTGCAATAGCTTCTATATCACCTGATTCAAATACCTATAACATTGAAATTAATATAAGGAAAAATCCGTTTATCCTATTTCTACTATGTAATATACCTCCTCAACATCATTGGCCAATACAGTCCAATTATCAGCCTCATGTAAACCTTGTTTGGCAGTCTGTAAATCTGTTTTTATCTTATCTATCTTTTCTAATGTTGCCATTGATGATGCAGTGTCTTTTTCAACCTAGAAGGAAGAAACAAATATTAATGTTATAAGAATTTTATCCATATAGGTAGTTTTCCAAGGAAAATCCTTTTTATTAAACAGTAAAACCTTTTCTATTTCTTGTTTAACAGCAACCATTTTTTCACTTAAAGCTATGGCTTCTTGCTGTAAAAGTTGTGTATCCCTTAGAACCCTTGGTAAACTTGACAGTACAGACTGACTGGTCTCTTCCAAAGCACCATTGACTTGTTGCACATATAATTGTAACTTCATTACTAGGGATGAAACAAATGCCTATAAAAATAATTTCATTATCAAATGAAGTCATATTAGTTGTGCAAAGTTGTTGGATTATCTGAAAAATCATTTTTATAATTCTCTAAAAGTATCAAACAAACTAGAAGCTAAAATACATTTTTTCTTTAACAATAAAATTTTCATCTGCAATATGGTAAAAAAAAAAATCATCAAAAAAGAAACACGGTGTCATTGACCGCGGTGCACTGGAAGCCGTCAGTTTAGGTCCTGACTGTACTGGTGCAACTGAAATTTAAAAACACGAAGAGAATCGGCGCAATCCAGAACACCATCATTGAACACAACTTACATCCTTATTTTCTTGTGCCTCGGCGGATTTGAAAGTTTTGTTAATCCATTCTTTGACATCAAAAGTATCTTCGGAAAACGCAGACACATCCTGAAAGCATCGATTTAAGGTTAGGAATTATTTCATTTTTTATTTTCAAGAATTTTCTAAGATTTTACAAGAAATATTATAATCGTTTTAAACTCTTTGCGTTCGCATGATATAATAACAGCTCGAAGTAGATCTTCTTGCTTGGAAGTTTTCAATCTAAATAACATAAATTAACGAACGAAAAATATAAAAAAAAGGTTAAAGATGCACTGGCTTCGTGCTGCTTACCATAGTTTTAATTTTAAATTGCAACAAACTCGGTATATTATTGAAAAGTAACAAATTATAAACCGTGCAACGTAGACGATGACGTTTTTAAGTATAGGGATGAAGTTTATTTTCTGTACGTTCTACTACTTTTTCCCTACCGCCGCATAGCGCAGAAGTAACTTGATTGCAGTTGGATCTCTTTGCTGCACTTTGTGCGTTTCGTGATACCGGGACCCAGATACGAGCTCTTATATTTTATAACGGATTACAACAAATTAGACTGTTTCTCGTTCCGTTACATCTGTATTGCAAATTATGTTTATAAATTATTCAGAACCAGTGTTTGCAGAATACAACTACTCGACGGATCGATCGTGCAAATGTCGTGCAATATATGCTGCGGTTACGATACGCGATTCTAGGTTATCGTATTTCGTTCAATCAATGACTAAATACGAGAGAATCGCGAGAAATTTTTGAACGTTGTGCTCGCCGTACGATAGATTATTGATGATAATACTAGAAAATGAACGTTAAAGTAACAATGATTCATGATAAAAATAAAAAACAACGATTAAATCGAGTGTTCTTTTTTTTTTATGAAAATTGTGACAAAATGACTTTTGTATCTCGGATTCCAGACGGATACTACTTATGCGGAAAAGGTCTTTCACTTCCTGAAAGACGCACTACTCTTTCACCCCGTCGCGATCATCACCGCTGTTTCCTCGCAACTCACAAGTTCGCGTTTGGGGATTCTGACTGGCTACCAAGATGCGGCAAATCGAAGAGGAAAAGGGAGAGAAAATGGAGAACAGCATGTTATCGGCCGCTTCCGGGCCCTTTGTTGATTGCCACGCCTCCGAGACTGCGTTTGCGCGTGACGATTTGCGCAACAGTTGGAAGTTGGAATTTTGCCTCGAAATAGCCTTAGCCTCGACGAAAATAAGGAGAGCTAGCTGAGCGGAACTGCAACACAACTGTACTTTGCCCTTTTCTTTGCGAGCGTTGAACGCATCGTCCCGATGAGCAAAGGCTACCTCTCAGGTTCAGCTATACACCTCGCATGTGTGTTCGTTTTTATACGTTACCGCGGACCTAATATGTACGTCATTAGATTATTCGAAGCATTCGCGATATTCGATTCGATACCTTATTTGCACTTGCCTCGAGATTATACGCGAAGGAAATGTCAATAACTTGCGGCTTTTTTCCTTTTCTTATCATTTTCTTTCTTATATCGCTGATTTGAAATAATATCTCGAAATTTGACGCTCTCTCAACGTGTAACGAGGAAATTATTCTTTCACATAAAGTTGAACTTTATTACGGACGACAATCAGACTCAATCAGTAGAGTATATTAGAACCGTATGCATTTAATGTCGCATATAAAGTGCGTCGATCAGAAGTCCAATTTTGTAATCTCGCTGTGCATACGAATGCGTGCCGCTGATAAATTGCCCTTCAATTCGACTAGACTGGAACAATTTCAAAATCCTCCATCTTGATTTACCCTGTTACATCATCGAAAATAATGTTATCGTTCTTTTAATTATACGCCAACGTTAATCCTTTCTTTTTCATAACGCATACGTTTAAAGAAAGCTTGCAATTATTTCATAACCTACGTATTGGTTCTATAATTTTGTTACAAGATTCTCGTTTGCAAATGTGAAGTAACAAGAATCGAGGGTAGAACAGAACCTTGCCTTTTGCAAAGCGTAAAAATTATGGAACCATTACCTTTCTACGGAAAAACCATTGTACCTGGTCCCAGGACGAGTACGCGATACAACGGCCCGTAGGAAGGGTAAGAGGTATCCTCGGCCTTGAAGCTTTACCAGCCAATCCCAAGCCTGTATTTGCAGACACAGGCCACGGGATTGGCTAAACGTTCTCCAAGATACCAACCAACCTCCCAAGTGCTTCCGGTTGGGACAACAGACAGATTTCCCAAAAACCAGAGAATCGGTGAGTTCAGAGAACAGGTAACGTTGATACTCTTTTTTACCTTCTCTTTCTCACTTCCAGACCAAGCACTCGTGTTAAAACACTGCAAGTGGTTACCGACGCGCGATAAACTCCGATACTCCTCTGTCCTGTCGTCACCTATGCAACATAGGGAACCGATTTTTTTTTATCGATAGAAACGCAACAATCGATCAGCGAGCGTCTACGCTGCAATTTGGTCCGAATTGGATCCACCAACGCGCATTTCTGTGAAATACTGTCGACCTTTAGACTATGGTACTGGGATTACATCTGGCTGCGATACAATACACTGGACCAGCCAATTATTTTTTTCTTTCTTATCTTAATTTCTAAAACACACCAATGCTTAAGCTCTTCAAGCTTCGATCCTGGTTTTTCTGCTTGACGAACCCTCAGACAATTACTCATAAAATTCAGGGCGAGTATTTGTGCTTAGGGTGAATGACTCCCTAATGCACGAATTCCGTAACCACCACCTCCCGCTGTATAACCCCTCCCATATAGCGCTTTGTATTCATCGCTACTTATTGTTCGCTGTCATTTTAAATTACAACGATCCGACTCTTCGTTAAGTTTTTCGATCGAGAGAATCCAACGGTCGAACGTGTAACTTCATTTCATTCTCGTGGCTCGCTAAAACTTTTCAAAGACAATCAACGCTATCGTCTGGCACTTTGCAAAGTAAACACAGCGAAGATGCTGCCGAATGAAATTAATGATCTTTACAATCTAGTTCGGATACGATCGCTATAGAACTTGCTTCTATTCCATCATACACAACTATACCTCGGTGATTTTTTTCGAACGTACAAGATGGTGAGGTACGTTTCGTTCATCTAGTATACAACACGATCAACCGTTCCATGGTAACAGGTCCTTAACCCATGGAACGATGATCTCGTTGAAAATCTTTCGTTAGGAGTAAGATTCGAATCTGTTTCGTGATGTTTGATTATCGCGTTCAATGGCAGAGACCTACGCTCATTTATGCGAGCGTGTGCTGGAGGAAGAAATTATTCAGCTGGTAACGACAGAGACTGTACCGAGTCCGCGCTACACTTCTGAGAAAATAAACTCTCCCGCGCTTCCTTCGTTGGCCGTAGGTTCGCGCAGCCACCTCGTGAATTCTGTTCCTCGAAGATCGAGTTGATTCGAATAGCCATGCTTCCCCCTGGGGACCCGTAAGGGGACGAGGCGAACCTCTCGACTGCGCAATTCGCGTTGCAGGGAGAGGGAGAGAGAGAAAAGAAAAGAAAGAAAAAAAAAAAAGAAAACGTAGAGACGATAAAAAGGTAAAAAGGAACGAGGCGAACGGGATATCGAATTTTTTTGCGGCCCCTCCTCGCTTTGCGCCTATATTGATTTTTAGAAATTCCTCGCGAGACGGCCGAACGAATGTATATAACGAACGAACATAGTAAAACGGATCGTAAGAGAGAAGAGAAAGAAACGAATTAAAACGAAACGAAACGAAGTGGACCGGAAAGAAACACACGGGTCTCGAATCATCGCGTCGTAGGGCGGGTGTTAGGCGCCGTTACATAAAACCTTCTTAATCGACTAACGTTTCGTATAAACGGCGAGGAGAACCAAACTCGGTTATTAAACCGTAGAGTATCGCGTATTTTTTTTTTTTTTTTTTCCACGAAACTTCTGAACCCAATCGTCCTTATAAGAGGTCTCTTCTGGTTGGCTTCAAATCGAACCGGAACACTTTTCTGACTTTTTGTAAGGTGACGATGCGAATATTCGTTGCGTGATTTTATTAGCGGATGTCCCGTTTTTCATAAGTTCCTTTACTGATTCATTGTGTACGATATGAATCCAGTCGTATTTTGACACGTTGAATACATTGTCTATTGCAAAATCCTGTGTGTATTTAAGATACTTGTTTTCGAACGGTAGGGAACAATTGAAAAACATGTTGCCCCTTAATTTAAAACAATGAAAGTGGAGATAATAGGAAATAATGTAAACTATATTATCGATGCAATAGTTCATTTTCTGTGTTTACATATGTCAATATTCGATAAAAACACAACGCAAGAATCTTAACTTGTATCGTGGTATTTTAAAGGAAGCGTTAAGAATTTTATCGAATAAAAGACGTGAAATAATATCAAAGAGGGTGCTGCGAGCGTATTTAAAGGTATTAGCAAGATTTGTAAGAGTGTGTTTACAGCATTTGTTTCTAACAGCGGGAAAATTCCCACCCGCATTAGACATAATACGAGACGGTCCTGCTTATAGTCGAAAGCAATCGAAGGTAGTCGAAGTCATCCGAGGACAGTGGAAAATAGTGGGATGTTCCCCCTCCTTCGGTTTTAACCATCCCTCAGTTCCCCCCACCACTGGTCGTATCCCTTCCTTTACTCTCGACTCTCGGTAGTCTCGCTCTAGTACTCTCTCTCCTTGTTTCGCTCGTGTACGTTGACGGTTCTCTCAGTCGCTTCCTCCTCCCTCTCTGTCTTGCTGTGACTGGCTGTCTCCGTCTCTCATCCTTTTCGTCTTTGTCCGTCTCTGTTTCTCTTTCTTGCTCGTTCAGCTCGTTCTTAACGTCAAACCACTTAGGGCCGCGGACCTCGGCAGTCAGTCGATCTTTCCTAGCAGCAGCATTCCGGCATTTTCCACCTGATCGCGCGCGGGCGGTCCGGCAAACGCCATTTTGTTCGTCACGTCTCTTCGTCACGTCTCCTCGTTAGAGAGGATCCTCGTGCGTAAAACGTTTGTATGTGCCGCGCACCCTTCCACGCCCCGTGGGACACCTGCGTTATCAAAAACAACAAACGAAGGCGACGCACTTTGTAACACACGCGCGTTGTTGTGTGGTGCTGGTGGTTTACTTCGATCGTTCCGTGTCAGGCAACAAGGAAAGGGACACATAGCAAACGAGAAAGGACGCCGGGTATTGTTTTTCCGTTGACGAGACCCGCACGGAACGAAGTGCGTGACCCCGCGTGGTGTTCTCTTCTTCGCTGCACGTTCTTCTTCGTTCTTCCTTCGACCACTGTAAGAACGACGCAGGAAAACAACACACGAGAAACGTGAGTACACAACAAATACATTTCATATAAGCACGCGTCTTTACTGTCTTTCAGTTTGTCACACCCTCGAACATTAGATCTCTTGTTTTTTTCTGCCTGCATGGCATCGTCTGCCATGTTAGACCGGCGTCTCTTTCTCTTTCTCCCTCCTTTTCTCTCTCCTTCTCTTTTCACTCTCTCCCTTCTCGCGTTCTTCCCCTTCCTCGTCGCGCTTTTAAACCGCGCTCATTCCCCTCCACCGCCTCGTCCAAACAGAAGCGTCGACACGAATTTTCCGATTGCAAATTTTAACGATAACGACGATGACGATGACAGTCCCGGTGAGAAACGATGAGGACGCCGCCTGTCAAGCCGACCCCTCGCCTTCATTGACGCGGCCGCGTGTTTTCGCGTAACTCGTTACATGTGTGCGCACGCTTATGTGTGCGCGTTGTGTCGAGCCTCGTCCGACCAAGCGGCGAGAGGGAGAATCTAGACGAGAGAAGGGAGATGGAGGAAAGAGAGAAAGAGACGAAACGAGAACACGCTTGTAGAATGACACGAGTCAAAACGAAACGTCGTGTTTCGCGATTCTACGCGAATGCGTATAACAGACGATTTCTTTTCCACGTCTTTTTCGCGGCAGCCTTTGCCTTTGCTGTCTTCGAACGACAGACATAACCTTAAAAAGCTCCGTAATTCATTCGAATCGCGCGTACGTACTCCTACGTAGGCGGGGTTCTTGACACTTGAACGTTACCGACGATTCAGCACGTGCACGCGTTCGATGCTCGAGAGATAGCGCATCAAAGTGTGTAACCGATCGAAGTATAATCGGAGCTTTGTTTATTTTTCGCGGTGCTAGCGAACTTAACACGAGAGATGAACGATCAAAGCCCGCGAGAATTCTTAAACTCGCTTCTGTTAGCGGGAAACACGTGGTCGAAATAAAAATTCGTTACATTCGTATCAAGAAATTGTCTACTGCGTCTCTTTGAGTTGCGAAATTTTTTGAATCGTTATGATTTCAAACTGACTCATCGTTACGAATCAGATTAAGGAAGGAGCTTTCCATGAATACCGCCACGCAGTAAACGACGATGATAGTTAACTGTGCGCTGCTTATCACGTGGAAATTTTTCATTCCAGGAAAACCTTTAATCGGTTTTGTCGTTTTTGCGAACCGACTCGTAAACTACCAGAATAATTTACATAATAATTTAATGTATTACGTTGCGAGTCATTTACGTTTTCCGTTTTTTCTTTTCTTCGCGCGATCGTAACTCCGCGTTTTCTCGTCGGATTCAACATACACGGGTTAGAAAATATTTTTCGCGCGAATAATCGCGCGCTATATTTATGTTTATCGACGAATATCGCGAGTTACCATTGGCTCGTATAGAATCTTTATCGAAGGAACAACAACGTTGCGTTGCTCGATTCTCTTTGTAGTATCTCTAATGATATACGTTGGACGATTTTGAAATTGTTATCTCGAAAGGAGAAAAATCACGCCGTACACAGGGTGTACTTTTCATTCGTTTTTTCCGTAAGAATTATCTCGTCCGTATCTCTTATAGTGGTTCCGTGGACGCGATGCGTCACAGCAAATTATTAAACTGTTCGAAAAAGAGCAACTACTTGACGTCATCGCAGACCACTTGCCTTATACGCAATTTTCTCTAACACGTGCAGCCGGTTGCTTTAGTCGTCGTTGCGGTAATTTATGTCATCGGCGAGGCGACAACGGGTTTTTCCAAAAATAAAATACGACCCGACCGATCGCCATTACCGATACGTCGGAAAATTACCGATCGACATCACAAGTGATCGCGTTACAAGCTTTTTCGTGGTTGACCATGGGAAATCGACACTTTCCACGTCCTCGTTATTTTTCATACATTCTTTTTTTCCCCTCGCAGAAAAGAGAAAAACAGAAAATAAGTCACGTCATCGATCGGCAACGGCGGGATAAAAGCGAGAGGAGCGTTGATAGAGAGGTTGAAACGCTTCTTGATCATTCTAGATTGTAAAGAGCCCCGCGATTACGCAATCGGCGTCGCCAGCATCAAACTTGAAATTTTCCAAATAAAAATCACAAATCTACGTTCTCTTTCACGTTCGGTAGAAAACGGAAGATATCGTTCGAAAGCAACCGTGAATTTACTAAACTTTTCTTTTCATCTCGTATCAAATACCTTGTTAGGTGTCTAAAATACATTGTCTAAGATTCGGTACTTTTTAAACGCGTTGCCGCAAGTTATGCCGCAAAGAGTTGTCGAGAAGTAAGGTTGCTACCACGCGGCGTGAAACATGGTCTCTCGTTGTGAGGATAGAGAAAAAGAAGAGTAGGAACGCGACTAATAAGTTACAGCGACGATGACGACGACACGGCGACAATCGAAAGAGAGATCGATGTTTGGGATTGATCAGGAGGAGCAGCAGAGTGTGCGAGCAAAACAAGTTGTCGCGTCGGGTCGATCGAGAAAAATAACACGACGATGTGGAGGAGAGCTCACGCAGCCATGCGGTTCCGAAGCATGCCGCGGCATATTACGGCTTGCCCGTCACGGTGCGAACGACCTCTTCTTTCCACTTGCCCGTTATCAACTAGTCTATCATTTAACTATGAAAATTATTTTTCTAACTCGTACGCTTCCAACGTACATCCACGTTTATCAGCGATTCGAAAATTATTTTCATATTTCGTTCGAGTTTCGAAAACAACCAATTGCGCAATCAGAGGAAAAGATACGACGTACGTACGAGAGCGCACTGAACTCCGCGACGTTCCCGCCAAAAAATTCAGCGTTTCAACCGGAAATTAGAATCGACCGGTGTCGAGTAGGTGGGGCTGGTTTTCAGCCTCTCTTCGATTCGCAATGAAAAACCGTTGATTCCAGACTTTATTCCCCCGCGAATAACAAATTGCGTATTTATCGAGGGCTTCTCGAATACACCATTGAATCGTACGGTACGCTAGTATGAACCCACACCAGCGTACAGACTGGTTGCAGCAAACGAAGGCGGTTTGGCGCGGAGCGACGCGACGCGGAGAGTCAAAAACTTGGTGGGGATTCGAGTCAATATCGAAGATAACCGTGCGAACGTCTTGACTCCGGCCCCGTTCAATCTTTTTCCGTGCCGTTGAAAAATGCGCGCTCTCCGTTGTGCGGCGTGTGCTGCTCCTATTCCCCTCTCGCTCAATCGTCCCGTTCCGTTCCGTTCCGTTCCGCGCGTATTTCTGTAACGCGGGATAGTGACCCGCGTAAACGTTCGAAACGCTTGATATTATTTGCGTCGCCGTTACCGCTTCTCTTCGTACCATTGTTGCAAACAGAGAGCGAGTACTAACAGACAGAGAACGAAACAGATAATTAGCTGTATCGTTTCTGTTATCGTTTTTATTCGTCGCCACCAGCAGCACGCTCTGTTTCGCGTGTAAATATTAAACGAAACGCTATAAGCGATTGTGTACGTAAGTTACCTAGGCCTACACTTGGCCTAGGGAATTTTTCTTTCTTACTAATAATCTTTGTCTCTAAAAGCCAGAAAATAATGCTGCAACTTTTTCTAACGCTCTTTTTTTTTTTTTTTTTTACTTCAAGTCTGTCTAACGAAGGTTTTTTCAACTTTGTGTATAGGAGATTATACTTAATGACGAATCTTTCTTTTACCAAGGAATATTGTCGTTATTTTTTTTTTCGTGTATCTCTAATCTAAACTTGTGAGGATGATTTATAACGTCATCGTTACTAGCACGTTTTTCCTAGTAAACAGTAATAAATAGGTCGTGACGAGTACCAGTTCCTTGGTTTATTTCTAAGCCCCTGGGAGGAGTACGAAGTTTATACTATTTTCGTTTTCTTTTTATTTCTAACGGTAGTTTCTGCTTACGAGGAAATTTTCCGTCCCGTAGAAAATAGATGAGAGAAAAAATTGTACGAAATTCGAAAGATTGCAAAAGTGGAGAGTGATGAAATTGAGCAAAGTAGATCGAATTTCAAAACGCAGCCACTGTCTATCGATGTTCGGTGGCTTTCTCTCCCTCTCGGCTCGTCTGGGCAAAAACTTTAAATTCCGTGGCGGGAATAATGCCGCGGGCGAAATTGCGAGTATGATTAATACCGTCCGAGGCAAAACTAAACGTTGACGTAGCCACCTATGGAAAAGTCGATAACTAACAAAAAAGAAAAAAAAAATAGGCACACCAACGGAATTAAGAGAAATTCCATGAGTCGTTCCTCAATTTATGTACCCGTGAAAGTTACTAGCGCGTGCGCGCACAACCACTAACGCTTTTTTCGCTATCTCGAAACTTGTGAAACGATTTTCAATTCATTTCACAGATTTCTCTGTGACTCGTTTCAGAAATATCATCGCACGAATAACCGTTGAACATTCGTACTCCTGTTTGTTTTTCGGAGTAATAGTTCATCTTATCGTTTTTCTTTCGGTTAACATTCAGTTAGCGGAAAAGTAGGATGCCTGACGCGACGATTTCTCGATTTTCCATCAAATTATTCGCCCCGGTACGAGTAGCGTTTTCCCACGCGTTTCATGGCACATACCGCTTTCGCACGGTATAATTTCGCGAAACGATAGCCGTGCGTGTTGAACGGGTAAGTAGAAGAAGCAACCGCGGGGACAATTAAACGTCGATAGGATTGCGAGCAAGAGGTGTCGAACCGTATGCCGTAGAGGAAGGTTGCTAATCTCCGGAAAAGGAAAAAGAGGTGAATCTCTTGGTTTGTTGCACGATGCGCCACGGTGAAATCTCTTTGATTTTCACACGTTACGTCCAAAACAGTATTCAAGCGACGTTCACACGTCGCGACCGCAAACCGAATTGATTTTCAATGCTTCGTGAAAGATACCACCACTTTCGACACTTTCGAAACCATCAAAAACTTTCAAACATTTCTAATTTCGAACACCATCGCTATCCCCGATTTATGTTTTATTCGAATTCGTTCCACTTTAACAACCGTTCACTTTATGATTAGTAATTGATATATCTC